ATTCCACCCTTCTCTCCCCTCCTTTTTGAATATTTACGGTTAGAACTCCTTCCCCTTTCTCTCATTCAATAGTCCTTACATTCGAAGCATTCATACCCATTTCTCCTCTATTTGTGTACTAAATCGCTCGAATTTGCTCTGATGCAAACCTGCCCTTATGGCCTTTGATTAATCCTGGAATTTGCTCTGATGTAAACCTGCCCTTCTGGCCTTTGATTAATCCTGGAATTTGCGCTAATGCAAACCTGCCCTTACGGCCTTTGATTAATCCTGGAATTTACTCTAATGCAAACCTGCCCTTACGGCCTTTGATTAATCCCTGGAATTTGCTCTAATGCAAACCTGCCCTTACGGCTTTGATTAATCCTGGAATTTGCTCTAATGCAAACCTGCCCTTACGGCTTTGATTAATCCTGGAATTTACTCTAATGCAAACCTGCCCTTACGGCCTTTGATAAATCCCTGGAATTTGCTCTAATGCAAACCTGCCCTTACGGCTTTGACTAATCCTGAAATTTGCTCTAATGCAAACCTGCCCTTACGGCCTTTGATTATTCCTGGAATTTGCTCTAATGCAAACCTGCCCTTACGGTCTTTGATTATTCCTGTTAGCTCTAATGCAAACCTGCCCTTACGGCCTTTGATTAATTTTGGAATTTTCTCTAATGCAAACCTGCCCTTACGGCTTTGATTAATCCTGGAATTTGCTCTAATGCAAACCTGCCCTTACGGCCTTTGATTATTCCTGGAATTCGCTCTAATGCAAACCTGCCCTTACGGCCTTTGATTATTCCTGGAATTAGCTCTAATGCAAACCTGCCCTTACGGCCTTTGATTAATCCTGGAATTTTCTTTAATGCAAACCTGCCCTTACGGCCTTTGATTAATCCTGGAATTTACTCTAATGCAAACCTGCCCTTACGGCCTTTGATTAATTCCTGGAATTCGCTCTAATGCAAACCTGCCCTTACGGCCTTTGATTATTCCTGGAATTAGCTCTAATGCAAACCTGCCCTTACGGCCTTTGATTAATCCTGGAATTTTCTTTAATGCAAACCTGCCCTTACGGCCTTTGATTAATCCTGGAATTTACTCTAATGCAAACCTGCCCTTACGGCCTTTGATTAATCCCTGGAATTTGCTCTAATGCAAACCTGCCCTTACGGCCTTTGATTAATCCCTGGAATTTGCTCTAATGCAAACCTGCCCTTACGGCTTTGATTAATCCTGAAATTAGCTCTAATGCAAACCTGCCCTTACGGCCTTTGATTAATTTTGGAATTTTCTCTAATGCAAACCTGCCCTTACGGCTTTGATTAATCCTGGAATTTGCTCTAATGCAAACCTGCCCTTACGGCCTATGATTATTCCTGGAATTCGCTCTAATGCAAACCTGCCCTTACGGCCTTTGATTATTCCTGGAATTAGCTCTAATGCAAACCTGCCCTTACGGCCTTTGATTAATCCTGGAATTTTCTCTAATGCAAACCTGCCCTTACGGCCTTTGATTAATCCCTGGAACAAAAACCTGATATATCGCGAGCTGCTGATAACAGTCCGAAGGTTGCAAATGTCGAGTAATTGTTTTATGCCACCAACTAACAAGTTTATCCTTGTATTTTTAATTTTCCTTTAACTTATATTTTTTCTTTATTTCAAAATCAAGTTTCTTTTTTTTTCTTTTATTTTATATATATCATAAGAATAATATTAAACGCAAATAATAATTTTTATTTCTTTTTTTTTCTTAAAAATATAAAATCGTAATAATAATTTTCATTTCTTTTAAAACAATATTTTTTGATTTTTCTTTTTCTTTAAAAAATTATTTAAAACGCAATAATCATTTTTTTTATTTCTTACTATATATAAGATATCTATTTAATTAATGCATAATAATAAACAAAAAAATATTAATTTTTTCTAATTTAAAAATAGCAATTTTTTTTATTATATATCACAAGAATGAATCCGAAAAAAAAATCAAAAAATATTAATCACAAATAAAAATTAAAAGAATGAATGCGCAAACAAAATCAAAAAAAATATTAATCACAGAATAAAATGCTTATTATACAAAATGACTCCATCTAACACGATACACATAACAAAACTCAAATCGTAACAAAAAGTAAATTAATTATTGATATAAAAAAAGTAAATTATCAATTAAAACAGTTTATATGAAGGTCAATTGGTATGTAACAAAGTTACCCTTTTCTTGTTAAAAAAAATATATAAATATAATATCCGAAAAGCTTTATTTTAAATATAATAAAAGAAAATATAAACAACATGCATCGGTTTGAATGAAATAAAACGCAAAAATAATTACTAGACTATTTCCAGACAGAGATATTTTCAAAGCGGTTTTTGGGTAATGTTCTCAGCAATTTTTTTAAATATTTATTTCCAAAAAAAGGATACTAACGGCAAATTAATTTTCTTATATAATATAATATTTAAAAAAAAAATCCAGATTCCCATTTTCTTAATCGTAAATAGAAAGCAAACTTGTTTGATTTAATTAACGATTAAATGGCGTCTTGAAATGGGGATCCGGAGTTATATATTAAAATATAATATTATATATAAAAAATTGTCAAGTTAGTATCCTTTTTTTGGAAATAAAAAAAAAGATTGCTGGAAACATTACTCAAAAACCGCTTTGAAAAAACGTTACATGAAAATGGTCTTAAAGTTGAAAATATGATGAGATTCATAATTGTAAGCAGTGGAATATTGAGATTTATAAAGATTACATTACTATAACAATAAATAATATACTAATAATTCGAAAAGGGGAGGGCAGTAGAGTCTATATAGTTTTCCAGCTTTCTTTAATTTTTAAAACTATAAATTACAATATATGGGGCTTATTAAATTTATAATTGTAATAATAATTCACAATAATATATTAACTTAAAAAATTACATTACAACTGGACATATTAATCTATAATCTCCTATAAAAGATTAAAATTATATATTATATTTTAATAATTTTGATTATATTGTTATATTTATTGTAAAAATTACAAAAAAAATCAAAAGCACGAATTTTTGAATGGAAAATAACTGATTTAGATTATAATAAGATCTCTTTTTATACAAAAGTAAATTAATTATTGATATATAAAAAGTCAATTATAGATATAAAATAATTAATAAGTTTTAATGTTGATATGAAATTAAATTGATATATAACAAAGTTATTCTTTACTTGTTAAATAAATATTATAGCTACAATATCTGATAGGCTAAATTTTAAATATGATATATGAAAATCATTGATATATTTATTTTCATAATTTTTATATGAATTTTTTGGTCGCCGCTCCTTCTGCTTTATTTAAAGTATAGAGTGAGTTTCACAAACAACAAGTAGGGGTGATAAATAACTCCATAAAACAGGGTTTGAGTCAACTCTCTAAATCAAATTTTTAACCCTTCAATATTCTGGTGGGGTATATGAAACCCCAGGCACGCTAGAAATGATATTACATAAAAACGGTTAAATATTATGATCTGGATTCTTCAGTAGATTTATCAAATATATCTTAGAATCTATATTCCAAATTTCATATATTTCGGTTGAGTAGTTTTTAAGATATAAGCATTTTGTGACTGATTGGGGTTTGTGAGATCCCACTAGAGTAAATTTGTATGTTCTATATTTTTTTTATATTTGAATATATTAGTGTAATTTTTTTTATATTGAAGAATAAAGATCCATATTATGAATTATTATGATTATATGATGGATAAGTTATTTTTTTAATTTTATATTTGAAATCTAAAAAAATAAGCTTTTTTAAAAAAAATTTGGCACAAATTATAATTCTCCTCATCATCTTTAATCCAGGCTTAAGAAATTTAAATATTTTATCAAGCTTAATGTTAGATCTATCTTATATCCAAATATCAAATGAAAATAATGAATATTACTGGAGATGTATACATTTGAAATTGGGGTCTATTAAACCCCACACGAGTACTAACGTCATTTTTTTCACCGGAGTATTGAAGAGTTAAGCATAAACTATCATTTTAGTATATATCGAGGTTTAAATTTAAAGGATGGCTTAATCTTAAAAAAAATTAACTTGTACCTACTTAGCAAATTTTTACGGGTGTTAGGATTAAATTAATTTACCAACACTATAGGCAAAAATATTCCAATTTTAACAATTATTTTTTAAATTTTTAGATAGGAATTTGATATTTCAAATAGGTAAGTTTACTTTGAAAGAAATAATAAATCTAAATATTTTTTTTAATTGATTGATGGATATCTAAAAAAATTAAATCATCAAGATATTCCTTTTATAAGTTTAAAATAATCCTTACCTCTGTATATACTATATCCTTTATACTACAATGCCATCGGGTGTAAAATGGGCGTTCATCTTATGAATTTGATTATGGTAAATAATCGAGTGTATTTAAGAGTAAATAATTTGCCAACTTTAATATATTAATAGTCCTTTGTTATCAGGGTTGATTCTAAATCCATATATTGAAAAAAGAAAAAGGTGTTATCACAGGGCAATTTTAATCCTTAAAATAATACAACTAAAAATAATTGAAGGATGCACGGAAAATTTTCTGACTAAAATATAATAGCACCCACTCTACCTCCTCCATCTCCAGCCAAATTTTTACAATACACCACTATTAATAATATATTTAAAATTTAACTGTATATAAATTGTAAATCTATTCATATATTTTATTTATAAATAAGATATAAACTATTTTAAAAATAACTTAAAAGAAACATAATTATTAAAAAAGAGGAATATAAAAAAATTAAAATACTTAGGCGTTTTTGATATCAGATGAAATTAGACATTTCTATTTGATATAAGCTTTAAAGATATATTTCTATATTAATAATCCATAAATGCAAAAAAAAGGCATTCGGGAAATTGCTACAACACATTTTTGTTGTGAGAGTGGTGAGTTGTGATGTTATCTCTCCCTATTGACAGCTGTTATGAAATACTATATTTTATTCAATTCGCCGATTTTGAACTAAAATCATGGTGATAAAATTGAAAGATACATTTTCATCTGAGTTCATTTTTGAAGATGTTGATTATGATTATAGTAACAAAACCTTGACTAGTCATAAAGTAAATATTATAGTATATCAATTATCTAATTTTTTTCATAGCCAACTTTAAATAATGCAGAAAGCTTAAATAGAGAAAAAACAAAAATTCCGGATATTTTTAAAGTTTTAAATTATATAATGCATTTTATCAATTTAATTCAGGCAATTGATGTACCAAAACCAGTTCAAAAGGAATTGCTGAAACAAAATGTTTTGAAAAAGAAATCTTTATCATTTCTAGATCTTAATTTATCAAGACCCTTATTAAAAGTATTTAAAATGTTTTATAACTACAATATGTGTTAATCATGTTCTAAGGCTATAGCTACTTTGAATTATAAAAAACCTACTCCTATACAATCATCAGCAATTCCAATTGCTCTGAAGGGAAATGATATATGTGCTTGTGCATCAACAGGAACTGGCAAAACAGCTGCATTTATTTTGCCAATTCTTGAGAGATTAATGTTTAAACCAAAATATGCCCTTAACATGACAAGAGTTCTTATTTTGGTTCCAACTAGGGAATTAGGTCTTCAAGTTTACCAAGTAATGTATTATTTTTGTCATTATTAAATATTATTTTATATTAATTAAATTAAGTATTTTTTGATGCGTCATCTTTAGTGTTTGCAACGGTCCGGTCCGGTCCAGTCCGGTCTTATTAGACTTTTCGGTCCTATGGGACGGTCCCGTCCAACAACACGGTCCCACGGTCCGGTCCGGTCCGACCGAAGACCGATTAAAGAATATAAAAGTTTACTATAAATTGCTTTATAGTTAATGTGTATGTACATGAACATATAAAATATGATTATTTAATGCCTAACACTATATAATATCTAATTCATCGTTTACTTTTTATATTCTTCCGTTTCATTAAATTCAATATTCATAGTTTACTTTTTATATTCTTCTTTGATTAGGCATTTGTGTATAATATAATAAAAATGAATTGATGATATAATTGAAATATTAATAGGGTAATTTAACTATTCATTTTTAATAAATTTAAATGCAGAATAAAACTTTTGTAGCTTTATAAAAAAATTTTTTTTAGGTGGGACCGGACCGCCTGGACCGGACCGACGGTCCCACGGTCCGGTCTCATTTGACTTAACGGTCCATCGGTCCGGTCCCATTTTAGAAAAAAAAGACCGGACCGGACCGGACCATTGCAAACACTAGTCATCTTCAAACATTTTATTTACCTTGGAAGTAGCTAAGCTACACTATGCTGGGAGCTTGTTGTATTTTGATATTCAACAACATATATTTGGTTTGGGCCTTGTATTTTTAAAAAAAATTAAATACCAGATGACATTATTAAAAATTATAACTGAGCTGGGCCAGGTGACATTAATTAAATTCCTACCCAGGCTAGGCCTGAAAATTTCCATTTTAAGACCGGTGTAAATAAACATGTGCTAATACACATTCTCCACTACCTACCAGTGATATGTCACATAAAAATGTTGGCATTCATTACACCACTTTCAATGTAAAAATTAAGTGGCATGGTGATGTGATAAAAAAGGATATTTTTATTTGTTATAAATGGGATATATTTTGTTCTTCTAATGAGTCATTTAGAAACTATGGTTTTATTTTAATTGTTTCATGGCATAATAACTGAAAATTATAAAGCAATATATTGAGTTATATTTTTTTCAAATATATACTTAAAAGCAATTCAACATTAACTTGTTAATTATGTTTCCACTTAAAAAAATATCCTTCCGATACATTTTTGTATTTCATTTCCTATCCTATAATTAGATTCATACCACCTTAGAGGTAGGTGTGGGCTGTATAATTATGCATGACATGGTGGATCATGGTTAGTTTTGTTAAATAGCTTCATTTGAGCCGATTTTTAAAAATGACTAACTCAATATTAAATCCAGATGAATATTACGCAAGTCTGAAGATTTTTCTCATAGATGGCCCGAAAGTCTAAACATCTAATAGCCAAATCTTGAAACTTAGGCAATATTTTTATGGCTAAATTATTGAGTTAGTTGTTTATAAAAATTGGCTCAAAATGAGCTGTTTATAGCATGAGTATAAATAAATTTTAAATTATTTGGCATGACAGGTCTCAAAATTTTTGCCAGGCGTGATTGTGTGAACATAAATTTCCCATGAATCACAGAATTTTTTTAAATAAATTTGCAATTTTATATTTCTAATTTATTTAGTTCTTTTTGAAAAATGAACAATTTTTGTCACATTTTATTAATAACATTTTCCCCTAAAATTTCAATTGAATGAAAAATAATAAATCTCTCAATTCATTCAGATGAAAATTTGGTAATTTTTATTTTCATTTATCTTTACTAAAAAAATTATTAATATTTAAAGAATGCTTGGATAATCTGAACACAGATTTTCATCTCACAATATTTGAAATTAATCTATGAAAACAAAAATTATTAATGTAAAAAGGTCATACAATAATAATTTTCTTTTAAAGGAAATATTTATTATGCAGCCACTACATAAGGTAGGCTTCATTTTAGATCCTAATTTCAAAAGTCTTAAGTTTTTAATAAAAAAAGAAAATGATATATATAAAATAACCTTAAAAATGAAAAGTGATAAGCTAACTAACATTTATTACTTTTCTAATTCATTCTACACACATAAAAAACTGTATATTCTAAATAAAACATAGAGAATTTCTAGATAATTTGAATTAAGCATCAGCATCTACCAATGAAAGTTAACTGAATGAACTTAAAGGATTCATCACTCATAAGAAACATTGACAATATTTTGAAGTTGAGGAAGCAGGAAAATTTTTTTCCTTTTTTGAGAAAATTAGCTAGTGAAATTTTGTCAACCTGCAAGTTTAGTTTCTAGTGGAAGGTTATTTTCTATAGCCAATTGCTTATTAGAGGAAAGGCAAATGAACATTCTTCTGTTTCTAAATAAAATTGATATATAAATTGTAATTATTTTGTGTTATTAATATGGGATTAGAGAAATAAAAACTAAAAGTGTAAAAGTACAGCAATAAGGTTTTGAAAAATTTTAAAACACCCTGAATCTTTGGGCATGACAGAAATAATTAAAATATTGTCCTTGAGTGAGCAGGTTGGGTCAAAATTTTGTTGGTAGTAAACCTAAAAGGGCATGAATTTTTTTATTGCCACTGTGAGCAGGCAAGTTGTAAATAGGCCCGCATCCACCTCTAATAGCAATAAATAAGATGTTTAGATCACATTAAAGAAATATTTTCTTAATATAATTGATATAAAAATAGTTTTATCCAAATTACAAAGCCATAGCCATGTTTTTAAACTTAGAAAAACTGGATATAAATTATTTAACTCTAAAATATATTTGATGGAAGAACTTATAAATTTTCTTAAGACCTTCCAGAAGACCTTTTAATTTATATCCATTTAAACCTGGTATACTGTAGATGTATTCATATTATTTCAAAATAAAATTAATCATTTGATATTAGAAGGAAATTATAATTCAGCAATATATATTTATGCAATAGTAAAAAGAAACTAAAATTTTTTTTTATTAGACACTTTTTTCAGGTTTTTTGAAAAAATAAATACAATAACAAATGATTCGGCTAACACAATATAATAATAAAAAATATAATGTGAATAATAAAATATGGCGGGCCAAGCAGGACACTACTATTTAAAAAAACAAAATATATTTAGGACATCTGAATATGACATAGTTGACTAGAATTCTTAAAAGACTTTATTTATGAAAAATGGCTAACCCAATATTTTAGCTAAAAAATTTTATGCAAGCCTGGAGATTTTGCTCATATTATAGATTGCAGAAGTGTTTAGACATCAAATAACAAAATCTAGAGACTTGTGTAATATTGTTTTGGCTAAAATCTTAATTTTTAATCTTTTAAATCGATTCCTTTAACAACACTATAGTTGACTTATGATAAAATATTCTTAAGATTATATAATTATTATTAAAAACCAAAAGAGACATCATTTTATATATATTTTTTAAACAAATAAAATCATAAAATTGAAATCACCCAAATATTGCTATTTTTATACATAGTATCCTATATCCAAAAGGCAAAAGAATATGTTGTATAGTAATATAATAAGATGATTATATTATAAATATATACAAGAAATCAAAAAATTACTTAATTTGCATATTACAATAAAGCTGATATGTCAAAATATAAAATGATAAATGAATATTTATTTTTATTATATAAAGATAGGCAAGAAAAAAAAAATTAATGAAAGATTCCGGGAAAAAAAATGTTGTATCTTAGATTCAGATACTCAAAAATAAATTATAACATACCAAAATTATTACCTCTCCAAAGTAAATACTTAATTGAGAAACATTTAAAAGATGCAAAATATATTTCTTAGAACGATTAATCGCTGTATAGCCCAATTTTGACATAAAATAAAAAAAATGGTATAGGTAAGAAAAAAACGGGAACATGGTCTGCTAAAATTGTAAAGGTCAACCAGAACCGATGCCCTCAAAATTATTTTAAAAAAAGGGGTCAACTGCATTAAAATCGATTATGGAAACAAAATGAAATCCTGTTATTTTATCAGCCAAAATTCATATCTACAACTCCTAGTTGACCGCCATTAGTGTGGAATACCATTTATTTTACCACGCCCTATTTTAATATTTTTTTACAAAAATGCATCAGGTCACTAAAGATTTATCCCAATTCATCACCTCTCATACTCCTGATAAGGATAAATTAAGTAGTCAAGACATCTCTCTCCAATTTACAAATGGAATATCCATTGCTCTTTGTGTAGGAGGTCTCGATATTAAAAATCAAGAGGCAGCAATTAGAAGAAGGCCAGATATAATAATTGCTACACCTGGGAGACTTATAGATCACTTACAAAATGCGCCTTCCTTTGATCTACAAAGTGTCGAAATACTGGTTCTTGATGAGGCTGATAGGTAGAATTTAATATTTTTTAAATTTATTTGTTAAATTTAACTCTTTTTAAAAATTTTTGAAATTATTTATAAATTGAAAAATATATGAAAAACATTTTTATAAAATATAACAAATATTTAATTGCTAGTTCTAATCCTGGAGAAATTATAATAATTTAAGCAATTAATTTTTTTCCTCTAAAATTGGGGTATTTTTATTTACTTCCTTTTTGTCCTCAACATTTATCAAAGATTCGATTATTAATATTTTATTTTTAAAAGAAAGATTTTTGGAGTTAAGCAATATATATAGGCTCAAGGCCGTAGTTTAAGGAAAGGTACTAACTAAATGCTATTAAATTATTATTAGTTATTACATATAATCTATTTTCATAATTTTTGATTATATTCCTAACTCATTAACATATTTTCAAAAGAATGTTAGACGAATTTTTTGCTCAACAAATGACAGAGATCATATCAAACTGTTCGGCCAAACGCCAAACCATGTTATTTTCCGCCACCATGACGGAAAAGGTTAAAGATTTAGCCCGTGTTAGTCTAAATAATCCATCCAAATTGTTTGTAGACTCCAACCTTTCCGTCCCTAAAAATTTGAGACAAGAATTTGTCAGAATCAGGGAGCAAAGGGAAAGTGATCGAGAAGCTATACTTGCCGGTATAAACTATTAATATATATCAGAGACTTACCGGCCCTGCTCTAACTTGGAGCTTGAAATCAAGACTGGGCCGATTTTAATTGTATCAATTACCATTGGGAAATCATAATGGAGTGTTTAATATTTATTTGCTATTCATGTTTTCAATTTCCTTTTGAAACAATTTTCAAAATAACGGAATTTTAAGAATCCCGTGGCTGGGCCGAAAGATTATCCAAAAATAAAAATTTTGGTTAAATTTTTTTTAAAAAAAATCCCTAGCTTTTCAAATTCGGGCTGGGTTCAAAATTTAGACTTCTGCAATTTACTTGTTACATACAACTAACTTTCGTTTATAAAAAATTTTGTAATTCTCTTTCAGATTTTTTTAGTAAAATTTTATAGATTTATTCTAATTATTGCTAGAAGTATTTCTATAATTCTTTTCAAATTTATTGTTCAAGCACTACTCGCTAGATCATTTCATTACGGAGTTATAGTGTTTGTTCAGACAAAGCTGCAAACTCACAGACTCAGTGTCCAGCTTAATTTATTGGGGTTGAAAGTTGGCGAACTTCACGGAAATTTGAATCAAAATGAGGTTTTTTAGATTTACTTTTACCTTCATACATATATATATATACACTATAGCCCTTAAAAGTTAAAGGGTTGGGTTTGATATTTAACTCCGCATTTACTAATGCTTAAGGATGACCTATATTGTGAAGTAGCATGGTGGACGTTATTCAATTTGTTGCATTCCTAATATAAACGAAAAATATAAAAATAAATTTTTTTTTTATCTAACAGAGAATAGAATCCTTGAAAAAGTTTAAAGAAGGTCAGATCGGAATCCTAATATGTACGGACCTCGCGTCACGTGGTTTAGATATCGAGGGTGTAAAAACAATTATAAATTTTACTCTGCCTAATAGCTATCAACATTACGTACATAGAGTTGGTAGGACTGCTAGAGCCGGAAACAAAGGAAGGTTTTAAAAATAATTATACATTTTTTGACTTTCAGGGTTGATGCTTTTTTAATAATTTATAATTCTCGGTATAATTATAAATTATTTTTAAGTATTTTTTTTTAACCAAATTTCTAAAAAATCAGGGTTGATAACTCGAACCCTTGAAATTTTAATGAATCGGAACTCAAACCCTTTTTTAAAATGTAGTTTTCAAGAATAGTTCTTTTATTTATTCTTTCTATGATGATATTTTAGTGGTATGATAATTTGCTTAAATGAAATTTATACAAATATATTAGTTTTTTAAAATCCTATTGTATTATTATAATTATAATATACTATTTTTATCGTGAATGTTAAATATAATAAAATAAATTATAAAAAACTGATGTTTCTGTTATTTTAGCTAAAAAAAATTCTGGACTCCGAATTATACCTACAAAAAATAAGAATCAAATATCTATTATTCCTATTTTTGCATTGAATATTTGTATTATTCTATTCACATTGAGTTATTCTTGTTTCATACAAACGATAAAATCGATAATAATAGCGAAAACAAATTATAAAAATTTTTGATGGGAAAATTTTCAAATTCACTTCGAGAATATCATTCTTCAAAGGATCTTGATATATATTTTTGTTTATTAATACCTTATTTTGCAAAATGATTTGGTTTTACTATACATAATGTGGTTGTAGACATAGAGATGAAAACCTTATTTGGAGGTTAACATCAAATAAAGAGCACCGCCATTCTACCAATTTATCAGATTTTTATATTCAAAATTTTGCAAAAGAATAAAATTAAAATTTGATCTATAGAAAGTGCACGAAAACACTTGTTGTATTCGAAGAAATTGGATATTGACAGTATTTAGAAAAATGCATAAAATGTCATGTATATTTTCCTTTAAAGTTATCCAATCGCACCAATTAAATTTTCATCCTTTTTAAATTGATAAATTATAACTTTACTTATGTAGTATTTGAAAATATAAATGCAACAGGCGATTATTAACTATGATTTAGATCTAGAATCTGGATCTGGAAAATAGATATATACAATCAGTGCAAACAAAATTGCAGAACGAAAAGATGCAAATGCAAGGCATCTAACATGTCATGCAATTCTGATTGACACCCAATAAATAATAATTGTCAAAATGAATGATAATTTTATTATTATATATTTATTTTGAATTATTATTTTTTTTAGTTACAAGTTTTTTATATTGTCAAAAGATAAAATCTTACAAGATCTTATAGGGAAGGTTAAATAGTTCTAATTTTAATTGTTCGACATAAATAATAATATGTAATTCTATTCTTAATATATAAATGAAATGGACATAATGTCTATTAATTGCTTTTTAAAAGAACTAATTCGAATTTCTGCAACTCAAAATTTTGCTACCAGACTTTCTGTTTGTAATATGGCGTGAAATGTAAATTACTTAAACATAAATTTATAGCCACAAAATGAATTAGTATATATTTTCTAGGGTACAATTAGGAGGATAAGTAGAAATCCCCACCTCTTTTACCAAATTTGCTTGGTTTGGTAAATATTATTACAAATTCCCCTAATAAATTACTAAAAATGCGTATATGATGTGCCAGTGCCATAGCTCCATTCAAAAAATTTTTTGGCCTTCAAACCTGGCCCCCTGAAAAAATTTTTGCCCAATAAAATGGCCGCCATAATTTTTCCGGCCCCTAATTTAAAAAAATATAATATAAATATTGGTAAAAAAAATAAATATAATTTTTCCAGTTTTCTTGAAAAATCATAATTTTTCCTCAATCCGATATTTTTTTATCTTTCAAACATATTAACTAAGAGATCGGATCATACCCAATTTTTTTTTAAAAATAGATCCGATGCAAGGCTCTAATTTATACTGTATTATATTTGTTGTTTAATTTGTTAAATATTTTATCATCAATCGCATTACCCCATATTTAATATTTTTATTACATAAGAGCTATATCATTAGTCGGTGACCAAGAAAGGAACGTCTTTAGAGAAATTATCAAGAACGCAGTAACATTCAGTCTTGCAGCCACCCCCAATTCTAAAGAAGAAGGCAAAGTTCTTTACAGAAAAATAGACCCTCTCGTTATAACTGACTTCAAGTTGAAATTGGAGCAACTCGAAACTAAGCTTCAAGAAAATTTGAAGGATGAGAAGATGAATAAAGACATAAGGGTTGCTCAATTGAGGGTTTTCAAGGCCGAAAAGTTAATAGAACACAGGGAAGAAATCATGTCTAGACCTAAAAGGATTTGGTTTCAGACGCACGGCGAGAGAATGAGAGACCAAAGTTTATATTATTCTTTTGAAATTATCTTTAATAACTTTTTTTTATGTTCCGAGTCGGTATTTTAAAAGAGTAAAATCATATATATCGTATTCTAGATATTTAATGAATAAGTATATTTTTTGAAGTATTATCATCATATTAATGTATCTATTATTCCAGAGTATGCAACATGGGCCTTCCTATTCTTAAATTTGACATGGGGAGTTTCATGTTCTAAACTCTCTTAAGGCAATCAAAATTTTTTTAATAAATTACTCGTACTTTCGTTATAACTGGTTTCTATAGTTATTTAAAAGTATTTTAAAAGAATCTCTCAGGTTAGATCCTACCGAAAGAAAGAAAAGGGTCGCTATAAAATCTAACAGGTCCGACGATGACGAGGTTAATGCAAAACCAACGAATAACAAAAAGAAATGGGGGAAGAATAAGTTGGAAAAGATTAAAGCGAAAGATATGTCGACCGAGGAAAGAATAAATCATGAAATAACCAAAGCTAAACAATATGCTTTAAAATGCTTGGAGCTTTCTGACGTTTCCCGAAATGATAATAAGGGTCATCGATCAACTAATGGTAATTATGATCCCTATTTTTCAGAGTTTGAAATGTTCTTAAAAGCAGATTTTATTTTTGACCAAATTTTACATAAATTTTATAAAAAAAATTATTTTTAAAATAAATCTTTTATAATTTTTAGGCATAAGAAATCTTACATGATTAAAATCGCAATTTTTTTAAAAAAAGATACCACATTTGTTATTAAAAATAAATAAAAATTAGGTTAGAAAAATAATACACAAAAAATAAAAATTTAGTGATCCATTCATTCATAATATTTTTACTGTAGATAAAATTGCAATCGTATTGTTTTTTCTATAATTTTTATCTTTATTCATTTTAAGATAAGTCTACTAAAGGTACCAAAAGAAAATCGTTTACCAAACAATTAACCGATACCGATAAAAAACGCAAGTATATACTTAAAAACGAAAACGAAGGATTCAAAAATAAGCGCAATCGTAATAATGTTACACGGAAAAAATAAATAAACGATATTTATTTGAAAAAAATGTAATATATGTTTATAGATAATAAAAAAAATAAGATTTAGTCAATTTTTATTTGAAATCATCTTCACCTTTTAGCTTAGATGGATAGGAGAAATTCTATCTCATTGTAATTTGGTTTGAATCCTAGTTGGTATAAATTAGGATTACATTGGTGTATAAATATATTTTATATCATTTTATATACAGTATCTTATATTGTAGATAATAAAATATCAATATATTATAAATTTTACAATAAAATGAATATGCAGAATTCAAAATATGAATTTTTTTTGCTATATTTAAATATTATAAGGTTTAGTATAAAAAAAATATAATATCTATGATTAGTTTTTTTTAAATTGCTAATTATTTTCTTTAAAGCTATTATATATATATATATATGTATATTATAAATTAAAGTATAAGATTTGAAAAAGCTATTTACTCGGGAAGTTGTTAATCAATTTTTCTTTTTAAATAAAAATTGATTTAAATCAATCATGATAAACAAAATTTCAATAGTAAAATAAGTAGTAGCTTTTTAAAATAATTTAATAATCTCTGAAATTTATAATATACTTTTATATGATGAACACCGTATAAAATGATTATTTAAAAAAATATAATTTAATAATATATAGTAATTAATTATCTTATAGATTTCACAATTATTGAATTACATGGCAAAAGAGTCTCTTATACAATAATTTTTTTTATAAAAAAATTAAAGCCTTCTATACCAATATTTTAATTTAAGGAGGTGTAGATTACAGTTTCAATATGTTTAAAGTAACTTTAAAAAATTATAATATAAAATGAAGTGTTTGTCTGCAAAAATATTGACAAAAAAACAAGATCCATATTTTTAAAAAAAAATTAATTGAGAATTATAAATTTTTTTATAATAAATTTTAGAGATTTGAGAATGTGAGAAATTTACCATAATTGTATATCACATTTAATAATCTGCAAATTAATCGGAATATATTTCAAAAACAATAATTTTATCGCGCTAGAGTAACTATCAAATCGGCGCACATTTCGAAAAATTCTAAAATTTGATGATTTTTAGGCTTTTGAGTGACGCTATAAACATTCATGTTAATCTCTTTTTCGGCAAAGGCGGAAGAATCGTCAGCGTCTAAGCTGTCATTTTTCTAAAATAAAAAGTTAAAGGTTTTTTATTAATAAATTATTAGTTTAATGAGATATTTAAAAATTTCGAATCAAAAAATTACATATATTCTATTTCTAATACTTTGTGGTTTATTTCTTATTTTTCACTATAAATTACAATGGATTGACAAATTTTTTTTAAATAATATCACCTGGAAAAAGTTATTAATTGAATATATTATATATATTTTATTATATCAAAACATTAATTTTTCCTATAGATATATAAGCAATATAGTATTAACTTAAATACTATAATCATATATAATTATCAATATTTAATTTTTTTTTTACTAATTTTATTAACCTAAATATATAGTTGATAATTTAAAAAAAAATTATAATGTAATATATTAAAATGATTTTTAAAATTAAAAATCTGTGTTTTTCGTAAAATTCATTCGAAATTAGGGAGTAGCTTTTCATATTAGTATTTAAGGGAAGAGTTGATTCTATGTTACATCTCTATATGTAAATCAAATTTAGTCAAAAGAGGATATGTTATTTGGATTCAGATAAATTTGTTCTTAAGAACAGTTTTGGTTTTATTATTCAAATATTTTGCAAGATAGTTTTTTTTATGAAGAAATAATTTTTTGTCCAATTTTTGTTGTCAAAATAATTATTATTATGTAAATAGTTTGCCAAATAGTTTTTTAAATATTATTTTATAAGTTTAAAAAGTCAGACAAGAAGTTTAATTTTTTATTATAATTTTAAAAGTATTATGTAAATGATATAAAAAGAAATTGTTATAAAAGGAGATAAAAAGTTATATCATTTTTTAATGTTTAAAATTTAATAAAGTATTGAAATCTATATAAGGTTGCTTAATTTTTGAAAAATTATAATCTTAAATCATTTTGCAAAAAAAATTCAAAATTTTCCTTAAAATTATTTTATAACTAAAAATAAAATTTAAGCTTTCCAAAGTGAGATATTCATAAGTAATCATTGATTTTAATCATTAACCTATATCAACATACGAATACTAAAAATAAAACCTTAAAAAGAGATATTTAATTTTCTTATTACGATTGTCTATTTATATTCCTTACTTTCTCGTGAAGTGATAAAAAAAAATTAAAATACAAACTTTAGGAAAATCATCTTCCCCTTCACTCTCCAAATCAGTTAAAGAATATATCTTATTATCGTCTTCAGCTTGTACAAAAACATGGTCATCAAGCTGAGATTCTTTTTTTTTCTGAATATTATTATAAGTAAATATTGCAAATTTCTGGTATTGGAATAATTACAAATCATTTTTATAACTTACCCATACAAATTTCATCTTAGTTGTGAACAACCGAACCTAGTTCAGACCGCTACGAGCCCGAATAAATCGGCCAAACCTTAAGTCATTTTAAATAAAGTCACTAGATTTGGGTTATATACTGACTACTTTCTAGGGAATTTTTTTCAGCTTGTAAAGGTTTGAACGGGTTTAATTGACCTTTAACTAAGTTGTAGTAAATACTAAGTTATAGCACAAAATCGATTATTTTTTAAAAGTCAGAAATGGTGATTCCCAAAACCACTTAAATTAATTTTAAAATATTCTTCAAATATCAGTGAGGATGATACGCGTATATATATTTGCCTTAAAAAATTACCTCGTTCGGGCCCTTCTCGTCGACGTCAGCATTTTTTTCATCATTCTTAATTTCATCTTTGTTTGCTATAGAATCACTTTCAGCACTATTTTCATCCTTTTTGAGCGATTTTAAATCCCCCGAAATCAAACTAGCGGAATTATTAAGAACATTATCGGCAGATTTACTTCTTTGGAGGTCTTTTTCTGAAAAAAACACAAGTTAATATGCATTTTAAAATTTTTTGATTAGAGCAAAATGCTTTATGTCTAAATGATAAAGACTAAAAAGCTTCCAAATGTTACTGAATTCTAATATTAATCACCTGGCTTCTTACACGTTAACAAAGTAGGATAGTAATTTGTCAAATTAATTTTTTTTTCTAAAAAACTCGTATGACACTCAGTTACTCATAAAAATTAGCCACCATTAAATAGATGGTAAAAATCAAAATCTTGTTAAAGAATAGCAATAAGGATGGCAAATTTATATTATATTCAACAAATTGTCCTTTGGTTTAGAAATTTAAAAAAAAATTGCTGAGAATGAGAAGACACTAATTTTTTTATTTTAACTAGTTGTTGATAAACTGCTCATTTTGAGTCGATTTTTTAAAATGGCTAACTCAATATTATAGCCAGAATAATATTGCATAGCCTTGAGATTTCGCTAATAGATGTCTAGACCTTTGTGCCATCTATGAGCAAAATCTTTAGACTTTAATATTTTTTTGAACAAAAATTGAGTTAAGCGTTTTTTAAAAATCGACTCACCTCGAGCCGTTTAACAACACTAATTTTTTTACATAGGTAAATAAGTATTGATAGACTGGTTCATTTTACTAGACATTTTCATTGATTATTCAAAGTTTTGCCAGCTTATTTATTAATATCCCCCCATCCCGTGATGTTTTTAAAAAGAATCGAAAAATAGTTTTTAAGATATCTGTAAAAATTAAAAGTATGCCAATAAGGATCTATGATCTATTTTATGCTCCCTGCATCTAATCTATTGTTCAGGTCCAGTTGGACCGATAAAATATTAGCATAACTGATCGGATTTCCAAATAGTCTAAGTCGGACCAGTATAACATTTATAGGTAAATCTATTTTAGAATGTATCGCAATCATTTTAACATTGATAACTCAATGTAGAAATGAATTTTATATTAATATATATAAAATCAAAAGATAAATGTGAGTAAACTGCAAATTATTATCGATTATAACGTTTCCTCTCTAACCTCTTGATCTTACCTGCCAAGCTATGTATTTTAAAATAAATCTATTTTAGAATGGCTGAGATTCATTCAAAAATAGCCCAAACTAATATTTTAATGTCTGGCACAATTTTCTTTGGTAAAGAAATTATTAAAATATCCGCGACCGCCAAAAGAAAATGATTTTCAGGTAGGAGATAGATAGGCTTCATATTTTTTTAATATATATTTAAAATTACTATTTTCGACAAGGATAGTTTGATTTGGATTCAAACTCTTGAAATCTAATAAAAAACATTTTTGATCGACTTGGTAAAGTTGAAGACATAGGTATATCTATAATTTTAAAAATAAATTTTTTTAAAAAATATTTTAAAAAAATGGCTAAAATTTTTTAATAAGAAATGATTTTTAAAAAAATAATTTTTTTTAATATTAATGGGGGCAAGGAGAGAAAAATTATAAGGCTCCTATTTAATGGCTCAGAAAGAAATACTGAATGCTCATAATCATTTCTTAATGCTATGATATTAAAAAATTTAATAACCCAGAAAAAATATTAATCACTCAAATATATATGAAACGCTCAAAAAATCGTCTTAGATTTTAGGAAAAATAACTGTAAAATTAGGTAAAAATTCTATGCAATTATAATTAGTAGAATGATTATTAGGTTTTAAAAAAAAATTATACAATTTTTTAAAATATCAAAACTAAACCCAATTTCCATCGTGTTTATTCTTCCGACGGACGTAAAGGTGAAATGGATTGACGATCTTCCATTCCTTAAAATAACGAAATATAAAAATTATGTTATAAATAATTTTTTTGGGCTAACTTAAATTATTAAAAGCAGAATAATCGCAAAATTTTAAAGATATGATTGTGGTATAGAAAGAAAAAATATTGATCAGGAATTTAATCGGAAAATTTGGCATGCCCGAAAATTTAATATCGTTTATTTTGATATTTATCGGAGGGCCGGACGATGATATTTTTTTTTATCGAACCCTGCTAGAATTATTTTTGGCACCGATTTTTAATCATTTTGATTGTATTTTGTAAATTGTTTCAAATACGCTCCAAATAATATTCCAACTCTGAAAAAAAAAATTTCTTAGGTCCAGTCCGAGCTATTTTTAAAATTTACATCCCGGTCATAAACCCGTTACGAGTTTGGATACGGGCCTTAATTTTGAGATATTAATAATTCTGCGGGGGGGGGGGGGGGTGATAGCAACCATTCATATAATCATAAACGTAATAGCGGTGGCAGCTAATTAATTATAAATCACTTTTTAAAAAACAATACAAGATTTTTCATATACTACTTATCAACACCCTTTTAAAGCTTAAAATAACACATTATTTAGATATTTTCATAAATGTATAAATTTATTTCATATGGGAAGTTATATTTATTTTTAGGTAAGTTAAATTTTGTCAAAATTAAACAAATATAAAGTTTTAAATTTACAAAATCCAAGCTTTTCATGGCCTTGAACACCTCGTTCATAATATCGTGTGGCTTGCTTTGAGACCGTATACCTAGGTGCCATTTGGCCCTCCTGACTTCTCGCATGGTATTCGTTTTACGAGGAGCTTTTTTCAAATATGTAAAATGATTAAATATCATTTTATTATTTTACAGCCATTTGGATGTATTTATTCGACAAATTTTTATGAGAAGCGAACAATTTATCAAAAAAATATCTATTGGCAAAATCATAATATGCTTGACCTTTTTCCGCCACGATAAAAAAAAGTGGAATCCAGAAAATTAAATTTAAATTCGTATAACATATATTTTTCAAATATAAGCGAATTCATAATAGTTAATCGATAATATCGAATTAAACGGATCCGAAAATTTATAAAAAAAACGAATAGGGTCATTTCTATATTTGTAGCCGTTTTTTGAAAATATACAGCTCAACTCTGAAGAAAGCAAAAATAAATTAACTAGCCCCTTTGGCATGTGTCTATAGAGATTAAGTCAAAATAGCCGATTTTTAGCCATTACCCAACTAAATCTAAAAGCAAGGCCCCCTGCAATGCATATTTGAAGCATGATATTGGAAGGGATTAATATGCATGTCGACATAAGGGGAACGCCATATCTTTTAGTTTAACTTTTCATAATTCGTGTGACCAGTACTTGATTTGGTTCACTTTGGTCTAACGAAACTTCGGTTCGAAATCATTTTTAAAAATAATAATCCATTATAAACCGATTTTTAATATTTTATGAAAATTTTTCAAGATAAATTGTAAATTTAAATGACACAAATTTGGGAAAAAAAATATTTTAAAATGATGCAATTTTTTTTTACAAGGTTTGTCATTTTTATCTGTAATGACGGATGGACTGTGATTTTTATCTTCTGGATTTTCGTCAGAGTTGTTGATGGAATGAGATTTATTGGGAATCAATTCCTTGAGGGCTTAAAATTTTTTTAAGAGGTAGGTTTAAAAAAAATAGCCTATAATCTCTTAAAATATAGGAATAATAACAAAAAAACCAAATCTTTTTATAAGATTTGCAAAATATATAATATTAGTAAGTAGAGATAAGACGATGTTGTTCTCAATTCGATCTCATTTTTCCGATATCTAGGTATATATCGGCCAAATGCGGAAATTGGCGGATTCAAATAGCACCAATATAATTTTATTTTAAGTGAATATTTTTTAACACTATAATTATATCTATCTACTTTAAAGTTAGTTAAGTGATACAAATCATTTTAAATCTAGCCGTTTAACAACACAATAATCACCAATATAGTTTGCCTCAATTGATCCAAAATCATTCAAAATTGCTAACAAAGCTTCCTATTTTTATTGGCTTTTAAAAAACTTTATAAATAAATAATTCAACCCAATAGAAATAGGAAATTTCTTCGGTCTCATTTGATGCTATATTATATACGATAACCGATTTTATTTTTATCTTTAAAAAGGGAATAAGTTTTAAACAATACTTAAAGAGAGAAAATTTATAAAATTGTATATTTAAATTACGAGGCATTCGTTCGGGGTGAATTTTTGAGGATTGAGAAGGACCACCCTAAATTTTGATAAAATAATAAATATTCTAATTAATAGGTTCGAAAACATAACAAAATAAAATTTATGGAATAATTTATATCAAACCCTTGAGAAATAGAATTTTTTTTTAAAAAAAGGTTAAATTAATTACAAAACACAAAAAAGTTTCTATAATTAGATGGTTAAATAAAACTACGAAATAACCATAATTATTGCGAATTAAAAATCGAATAAATTTTATTTAACTATTAGTATAAATAAATCTTTTCAACATGAATTATATATATATATTTTTTAAAAAACCATCCAGTCTCCAAAATACGTTTATATCTTAAATTATTATTCAATAAAAATGCATAAAAATTTACACAAATAAGGTTTATGGAATAGAAAGCTAAAACAAGGTAAAAACATTTAAGTCTCTGAGGGTGGGGGAACTAAAGTGGATTCCACTTACATCTCGAGGGTTAATATAGTAAAAATTTTAAATATATATATTTTCCATCTTTTTTTTTACTAAAAAAAAATATGTAAAACGGGTAGCTCACATAAGACATGGAACTGGATGGGCACGTGTTGGAAGCCACGAAAAAGTCTTGTATGCTATCTTTCCCGGCGGCGTCATCGGCGATCCGCTTGTTGTCGACAGCAAGATTGTAAGCTATGAGCAAATTGTCCGTGGGATCGTTACAAAGTATCGCTTTATGAACCGCTCCCGGATTTACCTTGAATTTCTATTTAACAATAAATTAACGGTAAAACTATGAAATCTATCCTAATTTATATAATCCCTCTTTCTTTTTATTTTATTTCAGTGTCCATTTTTTGTGAAGGAGATGAATGTGAAATTTGTTGTTCTCGTTGAGATAACCCTTGTTGTATCAGACCTTCCACATTTCCCATTCTTTGCACCTCACCAATGGTCCCCTTCCCATCGGCCTTGAAATTGTCATAATCCTTCTTGAAGGACCACCGGACTGCCATTATACTTGACTATTTGAGGCCTACATTTGGGAACCAAGACCATTAGAAATCTTATTTTGCGGAATAATTTGAGTACCATAACGATTAGAAAACCAATGTTGCGGAATACTTGCACCATTTGGGTACATTGGCTCAGAGATGGGACCGTTGGAATATGACACCCATTCTCTGGCTATTTCTCCGTCTTGCTGCTGTTCGTGCCACTTATCAGCCAATTGATTCTCATATTTATTGAGTTAATTTGTATCATGCTGTTAGATGACTTGATATAGAATGTCTCCATTGACCACAATTATGATTCAAGGCCGATGGGAAGGGGGGGCCTTGATGAGGTACAGAGAAGTGGAAATGGTGAAAGGGCTGATAAAACAAGGGTTGTCTCAACAAGAACAACATAATCCACGACAAGAACAGTAATATTTACAACAGGGAAGAAAATCTCCGGAGTGGAGGCAACAATACCGAGGACAACAATCCGAGCAACAAACGTCAACGAGAACAACAAATCCCACGATAGGAATGACAATCTCTACAACAGGGATGACAATCTCTGGAGCGGGGGCAACAATACAGAAGATCAGGGGTGACCAGTTTGGCACCTGGTGGGATGATGGGCATAAACGATGGGAATTTGCCAGTAACGGGGGAGATACAAAGCCAAATACAGAACCACATGGAAGAAATGTTGTTGAGCATTTTTTTGTGTCATATTTTAATCCAGTGGTAGTTTTTACTATAGTTGCCACATTAAAATTGTAGTTTTTCTATATTAATGGAAATTAAACTGTAAAGGAAGTCTCAGGGAAAGGGGAAGCTGTTATAGTGGGATATACATATATTGGTGTTTTGTAATTATGTATTGATTTTTTGGGGATCAATTTATAGTATAATAATGTATTTATTATTTTATAAAAAAGAAGGATATTTTCTCTTAGATTTTAAAAAATTGTTATATTTCTTAAAAAAATTATTTATTGGAAATACAATAAAAAAAATTAAGAAAAAAAACCAGTGTCCTGTGTCTTATTTAGCTATTATATGAGTAAGGTATAAATAATTTTTTATCACAATTTTTTAAAATTTAAGAGAAAAAAAAACAATAATGAATCTCACTTTTTTTATCTTTCTTTTTTATTAAAATAATCCCCTAAAAAATCAATACATAATTAAAAAACACCAATATATGTATATTATATCCCACTAAAACAATGGGTATTTTGCAAAAGTAGGAAAATTGTGATCTATCTTAAAATGTATAAAAATATAATTTATACCATTTAGCACAAAAAAATTAAGTTTGGTCGGAGTCTTTATATGTAGATGGGAGTATGATAGATGGCAAAAAATACAAGGAAATCTAAACTAGAGTAGAAATATTTGACCGAAATGAGAATTAACGGATAAATTAAAATGATTAAACAGAGTGTATGATGGAGGATGGATATAATTAACTAAAGTGAGGTATTGAAAGAGACAATAGAAAAATATGCGTTCATACATAAAAAAAATTGAACCTTTTTTTTACTCGATATTATTCGAAATTCTTTACCAATTCTCGTTTTTTCTTATTATAATTTCAAATATGACGTACCCTTAGCTTATAAAAAAATCATTAATTGGTCGGTGGAATAGAGGTACACAAAATAGGTCAGAATTTTTTTAATTTTTACAAAGATTAAACAGATTTGTTTTTGTCATTTAAAATATTATATCCCCATCGTCTACATCACAGAAAATTCATTGATAGGGGGGGGGGGGCAAATTTTTCTGCAAAATTTACCCCTACTTCCCTGAAAAAAATTTCGCGGCCGTCACTCATTATATACTATAACAATGAGCAACCTTTTTATAACCTTACCTTCTTAATATAATTCTAACTAAGATTCTTCTCCTCATGCTTTAGGCTAGGAGTAACAAATAAACATTTGTTGGTGTTTTAACTAGTTATTATTAAACGTATTCTAAATATTAGCCATGAGCGTGTATAAATTCAAACTGTACTATAATGTTATCAGTGAATGGATATTTAAAATTTAATTAACCATTAAAATCGAAATATAAATATAATTAATAAATTCGAAATTCTTTTTTATCAGTTATTTTAATCATTGTGTTTATTTTTAGTTTACCTTTACCCCCTACCCCCATTCGAAAAAATGGAGGCAAATTGCTCCTACCCACCCCCCTTCATGTAGATGCTGTCTATATCTTTAAGTTACACAGTTTATATGATCTTTTATTGGTCTCCCAAAAATCAATACAATTTGTTAATAAATTCAAAAAATTTTAAAAAAGTATTTAAAAAATTTTCAAAGTAATTTTATTAGGACTCTCTATAAATGAAAATAAGGAAAAAAACATTCAGAATTTTTTTAAGATTTTCTGGATTGATATCAGATCCTGTAAAGTTTTAAAATTTGTGAAACATAACCTAGCAAAGAAAAAAAAATAATTTGTGTAAAAAAGATAACTTCGCAAATTTCGTTTACAGCCTCCTTATCGATCAAACATGATTCTTGGTCACTAGCGGGAGGGAATAAATAGGCGGGTAAATCTTTTTTGAACCATGTGTGCTGTCTATATTTTTGTTATAATATATAAAATAAATATGGTGTTGATAAAAACCCTGATTTAGCCGATTTAAAAGGCCTAAACCGAAAAATAAACTAAATTAAGGTTTTTTTGTCCTCTTTTTCCTCAAGGTTTAGCAGCAAAAATTTTGAGTTGAGCAATTTTCGGATGGCTCAAAATTTGCTAAATTTTTAACAAATCATCGTCAACACTGTTTAGTTGTTAGCAAAATCTTTTCTTTATAGTGTTTACCACAACTTTACATATAAAGAAAGAAGTAAAATATGCTAGACTCTGTGAAAAACCATTTTAAAAAAATTCGCAATTTAAAAATTTTAATGAGATAGTATGTTAAATTTTTGAAATTTATAAAAAATTCATAGAATTTTGCACATGTTTTCATTTTTATATTAAAAATAGCTTATTTATTTATTTATTTTCATAATAGTTTCGAAAATTTGTTAATTTAATTTTTTGATGTTTTTGACACAGCCTTATGGAATTAAAACGATATTATTATAAAGTTAACCAGGTTGATTTATTTTCCTTATAATCGCTATCCTGTATAAGAAGAAAGAAAGTTAGAACTCTATAATTGGCAATAAAATACTTTGCATATAATAACTATCAAATAAAAAATAATAAAGTCAATCCCATATAAAATAATTTTGATAAATTTTTAATTCCTTCTATTAATTTAATTTTACTAAATGTCTTCTCCTCAAGATTTGGTTTGACTAATATAAAAGATTCAAGTTTATTATTCAATATTCTTGATTATAATATATTTCAACACTCGATACATTTTTATCCTAGTTAGTTTTTCTTTTAGGTTAGATATATTCTTCTTCTTTTAATTTATGTTTGACATCCTTTTTCTTGATTTATATTTCAACCCCCCTTTATTAATTTAATTAGAGATCTCAATTTGCAGATTAATATCTTTTGTATTTTTTTCCTTTTTATATAACAAAATATCTAAATCCGTCAGGGTTCACGCAACATTTTCCAAGTATCATCATCTGTTCATCTGTCTCTGCTATGCCTGGCAACCGCTCTTGAGAGCCTCTGGTATTAACGATTGGCACCGGATTCCCAACCCTGGGTCCCGGGTTCTCCAATTAAAATATTCGGCGATACTGTAAATTTTGTAATTATTTACTTTACACTCATCATTTGAATGTCCATATCGCTCACATCATGTGCACCTCTTTTATTCTCCTCTTTTATTCTCACTCCGACAAAACGAGCTCTTGGCCGAGCTATCCGCATTATATACATTTGTCTTAACATTCTCGGTTATGTGACCCTGTCAAGTTTATAACACTTTATCTCTCTTCCCCCTTAGAGAACTAAAATTGCCATGACGGACCCGCCCAATAGAGATACCAAGCTATAGTACCCCGATCGTCATCCCGGGAGAAATTGAAGAGGCGGAGCATAGCAGATTTGGTGTGGGCTCTAATTTGAATTATAAATTTCTGATGCCGTTTAAATAGGCTGAAAAGAGACATTTTTAGATCGCTTCATTTTCATTTCCAAAAAAATAACGATAGAAAATAAAAAATTTTATATTAAAAAAATGACTTGATATCTTCGATAGTGGCTCTTTTGATAGGATCGATCCTTAACATCACACTAATCAAGTCCCTCACTTCAAAACTAGGGTACAATGGATTGGGGTAATGGTATATGCCAGCTTATATTATATTAAAGTTTTTTTTAAAAAAAAATGTATTTACACAATAATTTCACTTGTAAATATAAATTTGATTTTTATAATTTTTAGTTTATAAAATATAAACTATATAACTCAAAATACATTTAAATTATTATTATAAATTTGTTATTAGCGTTAAAAAAAATCCAGAAATTATATAAAATAATATATTAGAACGAAGAATATATAAAATTAAAATTACATTTGATTTTACGGAAAAGTGTTGGAACGTGTTCATCGTCGAACGGAAGCTAGGTTTTTACAAAATTAATAAAAATATATTTAATGAAATGACAACTAATTCATTATTTTGATCTGGAAAATGTGCTATTTTTCAACTTTAAATCATTTTTTGAGTACGTTTTTTTAATTTTAAAAATCTGATTTTACCGGAAATACATTCCAGCAGGTTTATAACACCAATTTTATCAATTGTAGGCAATTTTTCCGTATAACTTTGAGTCATTTTAAATTTATATTAAAAAAGATATGTAAAAATGAATATAAATTATATTAAGTTCAAAATAACATAGCAAAATTATCTAAAATTTATAGGTTAGGTATTTCAAACATGATGGATATATTTTAGGTAAAATCAGATTTTAAATTAAAAAAAATGCTCTGCTGGGAAAAACACATTGACGCTAACATTGATATCAATTTTTATAAAAACTAGATCTCAAAGCCACCCAAATAATTGATTATGGATTTAAATCCTCGATTATGGTATCATCAGTAAATCGTGTTTTCTTTATACTTTCAAAACTATGGCGATGGTGAAACGAATAATAAATATTAGATGGTGTAAATTCTTTGAGGATACAATTTTGAGTTTAATTGAAATTGCGACTAAAGGTAGAGTTAGAACCAGGCTCGGTTGGTAAATTCCAAAATTAAAAGGTTTTGATAAGAAGGTTTTCAAATATTAAAATCGGGAAGTAAGGGAAATTAATATGATAATTCTTAAAAGAATTTGAACGAATACCAAAAATAGGCAAACTAAACGTTTTTTTAATTTTTAAAAGAACTGTAAAAGAGCAGAACAGAAGAGAGGAGAAAATGTTCATTGTTTCAGGCCAGTGGTTAGACAGAACCACTAATCAAGTGCTGAATTATTTAAATATTTACCGAACCGCATAACAAGGCGTAAAGGATAACTCCGCAACTCCATATATCGACCTCTGCTCCGGCGTATAATCTATAAATAAATACATTTAAAGGATATAAGATATAGGGAAATTTTTTTTATTTTAGATATGTTTCAAAAAATATAAAAATTTTCTTATCTTTTTTTTTAAAAAAATAAATATTATTGACTTTTTAAAAAATTGTATTTCTAAGATTCCTATTTTAATTTTTCCGGTTTGACTTAGTACTTCTTTTTTCTTTTCTTTTCTTTCTTTCCTTCTTTCTTTCTTTTTAAAAATGATTTCAATAGAGTGAGAAATAATTTTCAGATTTTTTTCTAATCCATCTAAACGAATGAATACTTAACATAAAAATTAAAAGGATTAAGCAAGAAATTATTTCCATTCAATATAATGTATAACCAGCTTATTATTTTTTTTAAATAATTACTTTCCAGAAATAACCTCTGGCGCGGCATAATTAGGAGAACCACAACTGGTCCTTAGAAATTCCCCATCCATCATCATATTCGACAAACCTTTTAATTTTTTTTTTATAAACAATTTCAAAATTATTTTTTGTCATAAGTGTTTAATCATTGTCAGAATAAGGATAATAAAACTTAATTTTGAAGATAAGTAAATAATTTAAAAAAAATATAATTATACGCAATTTGTATTAATCACAAAATAAATACAATTATTTATTAATATAACATCTACCTCTAAAATCCTTATATATACAACCCTGTTTTTTGATCCAAAAATAACTAATATAATTATAAATTTATTAATAATATAAAAAGTAAATATTTATGTAAAATTTAGTGTGCATATAACCGAAGTCAGCTATTTTAACGTTGAGATTAGCGTCGAGCAACAAATTTTCGGGCTTTAAATCCCTATGCACCACCATGTGTCTATGGCAATAGTCTAACCCGGATAATATCTGTTGAAAGAAACGCCTGGCTTCACTTTCTTTCAGCTATATAAAAGGAGTTTTAAATGATTGGCATAAAAAAATTATAAATTTCCTTTTTTTCCTCTCCTTCTTTATTATTCAAAGAGTTCTATTGTTTTATTTACTCTTTCTTTTCTTTCTTGTGCTAAATCTGTAAAAAGAATTATATATAACAACGGAGAAAACCTTTCCATGCTTAACGATGTAATCGAAAAGTTCTCCGCCAGGAACGTATTCCATAACCATGAATATGTCGGTAGGCGTGCTAATGACTTGATATCTTATTTTACAAAAATAAAATTAGAATAGTTAAATTTAGGTCTATCAATATTACTAGAAACAAAAAAATACAAATGTAATTTCTAAAGGGAGAGGAATTGATGTTTGAATAAATTAAATAAAAAGACAAAAATATTTTTAAAAAAACTATAACTAATGACTAAATAATTGTTCTGACCCTCTTATTTTTGAAATTTATTATGGTTAAGAACCACTCTATTCAGATTTTAAATTAGGACACACCATTCCGTTTTGCGTTAACTGTGTACCAAATATACAATAGCCCCATTTCTATTTATTCTGTTTAGGGGAACTATTTTATTAATAAAACAAGTCAAGACATGGCCTGTATTTTTGGATCACTATACCATCTAAATGCATTAAGTTATAATTCACTAGTGTTGTAAAGGGCTCGTTATGAGCCTTTTAAAAAAAGCTAAAATATTTTAGCCAAAAAAAGTATAGCCTAAGCCTCGAGATTTCGCTAACAGATATATAGACCTTTGTGCTATCTATCAAAATCTTCAGGTTGGCGTTATATTTTTCTGAATAAAATATTGAGTTCGTCATTTTTAAAATCGGCTCAAATCGAACTGTTTAACACTAGTTCATTCCATAAAATCAACTTCGTAAATTAAAAATAACATTTAAATTATTTTATATTTTTACAATTTGATGATGTGAGGATGTCTAAAGTTTTTGAGGTTTTGTATTTCTCTACGAATCTTTCCCACCACGTCCAAAGATTTTATCTTGTTACGATTGAGTATTTTGATAGCGACCCGGTGGCCTGTCAGATCATGCTTGCCGACTTAATTTCAAAGTGAAAATAAACATTGAATGGAATTAGTTATATGTTTTATTTTCTTTCTTCCTTTCTTTCTTTCATTCATTCTATCTTTCTTCTCCTTCCAAAGATTTTTTTAATAAAATATAAAAAAGAAAAATGGCAAGTGATCTTAGTTGTAGCTTTACTAAGAATCTATATAAAATATTTTCTTTTCGCTTTAAAAAGAAAAAAATTTATATATCAAAACTCTAACTTATCCATGAATGTAGGAGAGGGAAGTGGATGGGGCTCGGGACATTTTTTTTTGAAAATTTGTTTTTTCTATACAAAATTTCAGACTAACAATGCGAGACTACTTGAGATTAAATCTTTGCCCGAAACGGATTTATCAAGCCTAATTCAAATTATAAAATTTTGGTTGTAGTAAATTTTTTAAAGAAAAATTTAAAAATATAAACATAATTGCTACTAGATTTTATTTCACAATTTTAAATAAAAATGGCGTCATCGGATGTTTTGAATGCCAGGGATGTATTGACAGGAAGGGGGAGGGGGTGTAACCTAAATTTAGCCAAAAGAAATCATGCTGATCAGCATCAAATATTCACGTTAAACATAATCTTAGCACTATTGGAAGGGTTACTGAAAAGCAAAGGACAAATTTAAACAGCAAAATTGTTGATAATATATTTTTTAAATGATAATTTTAAAATTATAGAATAAAATTTTGTTTATATCATAATTAATATTAAAATAATTATTAAATAAAATATTATATTTACATTATAATTATTTTAACATGATTATATATAAAATGATTGGACTTGAGCAGATTTTTTGAAAACTTATTGAGGGCAGCTTGGGAAACATTTTTTTAAATATTGAATGAGGGCCTGGCCAACAAATTTTTTTTACTGCGGGCCTCCAGGCTGAATTAAAAATCGCGCCTCATGAAGATCTCAGGTCCATTAACCACACGAACATCTGATGATCAAACACCCCTACTAACTCTTCCAAGGTACGTTTAAATTCTAAAATGGACAGTTATCCCTCTTTTTTTAAAAAAAGTGCCTTTTATCCTTTTTATTTAGATATTCTCAAAAGGAGTATGATTTTGAAAAATGGTGCTAAACTATATATGAGTTCTTATGTGACTCCTTTCCAGAGTTTTAAAAAATATGATTTTTTTTTGACCAAATTTTACCTAAAAATGCCAAAATCTATTATAAGTAAATCCTTTGTAATTCTATTACATTTAAAATCTTTAAAGATAAAATCGAAAATTTATTTTTTTTCAAACTCTGATTCCCTCTATTGAATGATCTTTTTCCCCAAATCTCCCCCCCCCCCCACACACTTACCCAAAAAACAACTTTCTAATCGATATTGAACGATATTCTAATATATAGTATACAGTTGAATTTTCGATATTTGTTGTTTCAATTTTATTCTTGCAAATAATTGTATAAAATGTCGTTTGTTTTGTCAAAAAAAAAATAGAGAGAAAAAAAAGGAGGGAAGAAATATATTATATATTTTTTTTAAAAGAAATCAATATTCAAGTTTAAATTAGATTATTTTTATGATAAAATTTTGCATATGAGATTGTAAAAATTTTGCATTTGAGATTGTAAAAATTTTGTATAATATGAAAGAATAGGCGACATTTTCTTTTATTATTTAATTTTTAGGGGGGAGCAAAGTGTAATATTTTATTTATATAAAAAAAAATAAAAAGTAAAACATATTTTATATTAAAAAAATTTAACCCAAGACATTGAGCACACGCTTATGAAATACATATTTTGACCAGCGATACCAGAATTGAAGGTCACATAAAAGAATACATTTTTTATTAAAAACTGGTTTTTGTTCAAATGTAAGAAATAGGGAGAAAACAAAACAAATTAATTTTTACAAAATCTCTAAGGGATAATAAAAATATTTCAATAAAATATTGGTAGGTTTATTTAAGATGTTTGTGAGCGGTGGTGATAATGAAAAATTTGTAATAAAATATTGTTAGATTATATTTTCCATAAGGATTATTTTAATTAGTACCAATCAGTGCTCTAAACATTTCCAAAAAAATCACGTTGGCGTTCAAAGTACATTGACAAAAAAAATAGAACGCGTTCACGTTCAACTTCAAAAAAGAAACACGTTCACATTCATGAACGCGCTCGCGTTCGTTCAAAACTTTACGAATAAATTTGTTTTTTAAATTAAATTTAATATAAATACCCTATATTTTTTAACACATATACATGTTAAAAATAAAAGTTTTAATAATTTAATATATTTTATTTTCAAATAATTAAAAATAAGAAAATTTTCTAAATTTGAACGAATGCCTTCGTCAAAAAAAAGAATGTTCACGTTCAAAGTTTGTCAAAAATAAAAGGAAGCGTTGTTCATCATTTTTTTCAAAAAAAACTTCGTTTACAATATCACTACCAAAAAATAATTAAATATTTCCATCTTTATAATAGATATCTTTGATTATTGAGGAGGATTTGTTAATGTTGAGGCTGCTGGAAAAAAATTATGATCTTGGAACTTTTTAATATGAAAACGAAAATGTAGATTTCGATTTCTCGTTAAACCGTTACCAAAAAATAGGGTGTTAGTTTCATAAGGAAATAATTTTAATTATCGATTTACTTCTTATATTTCGTATTTTAGAGAATTTTTTATTTTTTAAAATGTTGGCATAAATTTATAAAATATTAAGAATGTAAATTTAATATTATATTTTTCTAAATAAGTAATATTTATTTTAATTAAATGCTGTGCGTAATGCTATGATTTTAAAAAAAAGTTTACAAACCGAGGCGGGAAAAAAATAAAATAACCAATCGTGTGACGGGACAAGAACATGACTACCCAGCTAATTCGAGATGTTTGGTCACTTTTTTTAAAGAAACGAATTTACCTTTCAAAAATAATTAAAATAATATTTTTTTTTTAATATTTAAAAAACAATAAATTAATTTAAAAATAGATATTATTGGCAAGGAGTAGGATTATTTGTAAATCATCTTATCTTTATTTTCTTTCATTAAAAATGGCATGTCTTAGGAAAAAAATAAATAAAATAAAAATAATCACTCAAATTCAATTGTTATTTATTCCTGTTAAACTAGAAGTGAAGGAGAATAATAAGTTTAAATTAAAATGTTATAAAGAAAAGCAAATTAACAAAGGTATATATACATTATATTTCATATAATTTTGTTCCTTTTTTCTTTTTAGAAATAGAAGTCTGAATAGAATGTGATTTTCACATTTAAAAAAAAAAATAAGAATACGTACACTCCTATTGTTAAAATGTTCAAAACTAGCGACTCCATGCTCGAGCAAGGTCGTATAAACTCGACTACTTGACAATATCACAAACTACTTACAATATTAAACCTAATCCAAAATATAGAGTTTACTCGGTGGGGTTTGATAGTTAGTCGTCTGGACTGTTCAGTATAGATCGATGCATCAAAATTGTACAAGATATCTTATGGGCCGGGTCCAAATTTTTTGAAAATGCTTTTTTGTCATAACCAATTATTATGAGTTTTCCGGGCTGGATCGATTAAAATAATTGTAAAAACCTGATAAACCAGAACCAGGTTTTCTGCTAAATTTACCCTTTTGAAGCATTTCAACAAGACTATAATGTACGCCTTTAAGCATATATTATAAAAGTATCCATCACCTAATGAAAAATTTTACAATACATATTAAGAACAAAAATTAAGACGAATTAGTAAGGACACAGCCTCACACTTGGCGATAAAAGCAATAAAAAATGTTAGAAATAAATGCAGATACGTTTTTATAGATTACACTAAACGAGTCAAAAAAAATATATTCAAGAAAATTTTTTTTAGAGAAATCTGCAATACAAAAATCAGGCTTTAAAAAAATGGCAAACCCGGACTAGTTTTTATTTTAAAAATCACAAAGCCAGAATCAATGCCTGGCTAGTATATTGACTTCCGGTAGGCCCATTAAAGAAAATAAATAGACAAATTAAAATTTATGAAAAAAACTGTTTGTGGTGTGATCAAGGCCTCGTTTATAGTAAACGCGGATCTCTGGGTATTATTTTTTAAGCAAACAAATTATAATTCATATTTAAAATAACTGAGCGATGCGATGAATATGGATTTATTTGCTTACTTTTTAAAAATATCCAGTAATGTGGACTTACTATAAACGATACTTAATTCTGCATTCACAGTTAGCGCGAATTCGCGGCGAAGTATACAAAGATAAATGTAAAATTATTATATTTATATCATAATTTTGTATATTTAGCCGCAAATTCACACTAATTGTGAACGCAGAATAAGTTGTTGGTCAAAAAGTTTTTTTAAAAAAATCATGGGTAAAATTGAAATATATGTGTATTGTTCCTTTTTAAATTAGTGGAGTGCTCTTATTTTTTTTTTAAATTATCAGCTGATTTACTTTTCGTAAGAAATAATGAATTAAGATATAACTGAACAACAACAAAAAAACTTGGTAGAAGTTGCAACATCTTAATTACATTATTGCTTAAACAAACTTTTGACAATTTTATTAACGATTAAATGTTGCCTGAGAACACCGTCACGTACGTTTATTTAAAAATATTATATTATAAAACAAAACTAATTCGGCAAACTCTTATTGGTAATAAAAAAAAATACTGGAAACATGCTTAGGAAACCTTTTGAAAAACGTCCTGCCTGGAATAGTCTTAGATGTAAAGTTTAAAATACAGTATAATCTACTTATATAAATATTTATAATTTTAAAGTAGTAGAGTATAAATAATGTCTATATAAAAACAAAAATTGTGTATCTTCAACTGTCTGATTCAATTATTTAACTGATTGCTACTTTGTTTATCCATTTTCCTTCCTTGCATAAATCTATTGAATGATTTACAAAATTGATTGTCATTTTAAGAGTATGTTAAATCTGGAATATTTTAAAATGCAAAGTTCTTTATAAAATATTTAATGGGACATGCTGGGGATTTTAAAAAAATATAATGAGCTGGGCAGGAAGTATATTAAAATAAGTTATTGGTTTCAGATGGGCTAGAAAAACCTTTAATAATGGATTAGACTAGACAAATAGTGCAAAAAATCTTAAGGGGTGGAGGACTGGGCCTAGCAGATTTCTGCTTTAACATTACAACAAAAATAATGTTTAATTGTCAACTAAGAAATATATAAAACCATACTATGTGACATTGGTGTTACTGAGGACAGGCTAGAGAGTGTATGGCAGATCATAATTTTATAATAGCATACTTAAAATTCAGAAAGCTTTTTCAAACATGTTGACATTTTAGGGTGTATGATTGAGCTAGTAACACAGATAAAGAAGATTGAATAGAGCTTTTAATTATTAAACATGAAAGAAAATTTTTTTGCCAACACTTATTTTTATAAACTATATTTAAAGGATATATTTATTTTATGCATGGACATGATTTTATAGGAAAATAATAATGGATAGGATGAATAAAGGGTAGAAAGAGGAGACATATTTATAAAAAAATTATTATTTTAGTTTTAAACCCTAGCTTAATCAATACTTATTAAATATAAAATAGGGATTTTTAAAAAAAATATTTAAATATAAACCAATTTAGGCATTGTTCGTTTCATGATTAAATTTAAATGTGAAAATAATTAAAATAATATAAATAACCTTGAGCCATTTTTAAACAAAAAATAATAATTTATTAGGTTATACAAAGAAATTAACGCTTCAAACGAAATCTATTATATTATTAATTACAAGTTTACTAAACTAATAATCTAGTGTTATATCATTATATAACATGTAACTTTTAATATTAATGTAAAATTCAACAAAATTAATAAATAATTTTACTATATTTATATTATAAATATCAAAAAAATTAAGTGCAAATTATTTGAAAATATATAAGTATACTTCTAACTGCTAGCAGATATAAATAAGAGTTTATAGGATCATTAAGATTGATAAACATTCTCATTGCATACTAAAGAGTAGCAATATAATATAAAAAAACTGTATAAGATATTTATATACTTATAAAAAACTTGGAAAAATAAAAAAATTTAATTTAATGATACTATAATCCTATTTTTTAAATAATGATTCATTAAATTTAATTATAATATAAGATCCTATTTTTTAAATAATGACTCATTAAGTTTAATCATAATATAAGTGAATGATAACTATAATCAATATACTAATCTATTCCAGAATTTTATTCAATTATATATAATTATTAAGGAAACTATTTTTAAAAATAAGATTTTGTAATTATTTACTTTTAACTTTTCCAAAAGTTCCTACTCCCAAAGTAGGACCCAATATATAATGGCCAATTTTAATTTTATTATGATTTTTGCTATCTAACATTTTAGAAAAATTGCTCAGCTGTAAAATGACAAAATTTTATATCCTCGAAATACATTTTATTGATAAATTATAGTAAATTGTTTCTTAAATTTAAAGATATTTTAAATATATCCTTATTATTATATATTAAAGGAGCTTAATAATAATTTAAATGTTGATATGGTTTTAATATATGCAATAATTACTTACCTTTTTCTTTTAAAAGTGAAAATCTTCAAACAAATTCAAAAAGCTATGAACTCACAATTACTTCAAATGAATTAATTTAAAGTACTATACATTCCTTTCTTTCTATTCCTATTTCATCATATATTGATAAAAAAAACAAAATAGCACAAGGTACAATAAAATGAACTATTACGGACATTATGTATTATGAATTATAGGTCCTAGCATTATGTGGCCATTTGGATTCAGGAAGCTTGAATTTTGATAATTATAATAAAAATAATTTTTAAGGAGGTCTTGTAAAATTTTAAGCACTTGAGGATTCTGCATTAATTCAGACCCTTAATAGCAGCAATAAAAATGCGACATATATTAGCCGCATTATTCATAATAAATTAATTGACCTCCAAAAATTCAAAGTATTAATTAATTTCCAGATAAATTACTTATTTGATAGTTGATTATAAATTTGATACGTTGGCAAGAGTAAAATGGAGCTCCTGCAATGAATGGCAATGGGTAATTCAATAGGCTTCAGGTATTTATAAAGAGAAATTCAACACTATATATGTCTACTATGCTGAATTGCCAACTTGGCAATTTTAATTTATTTTCTTTACAATTGATATCAAATTGCTAAAGTATAATTTTATTTATTTTCGATTAAATTTTTTTATTTTTATAGGGCTTAATATCTAGTATCAATTATATGTTTAGATATCCCAAGCGACATAATATTTTGAACAAAATTGTCTGAAAGTCTTTGTCCAGCAAAGAGAATGGAATAAAAAGTGTGTCCAACAAGATGGAGCCTTAGCCATACCAGCTTTTATGGAGTTAAAACTTAGAAGAACCTATTATTAATGCTCCAATTGAAATATTATAATGGCCTAAAAGAAATATTTCCTTAGAAGCAAGAAAAATACCGATTTTTTTATTTTGTAATACTTTTCAAAAACATGACATTGTGATTGAGACAATGAGAATATTGGAGAGCATTGTATTAGAACTCAAGGAAATTAGGATGTAAATTTCATATTCTATATATTATTGTTGAGTCAAAAGTAGATCTTTAAGAGTTTCTTGCAATAAGGCAAGACATTAATATAGGGTCAGTAGAAAAGTATTATAAAATAAATGTCCTTATCCCTCTTAGATTCATTTATAACCCAAATGAATAAAAATTCATCAGACAGCACTTAGCAATCTGCAGATATTACTTTCACAAATGCCTTCTGATTTCAGAACTTGATAGGATAAAAATTAATATTTGGCAGATTTTTATCATGAGGATGTTAAAGTATCCCATGATACTTTATTAGACGAATGCCAACTATGGTATAGAAGTAATTATGGTTGATATAGTCCCAAAAAATGTTATAAATGCTTTACATTATTGCAAGCATGTGTTAAACTATTTTCCCAATGTATTAAAATTATAGCTATTCGCTACTCTTCTCATTAGTAAATGAGAGAACATTCTTTTCTATAAGAATAAAACATATACAAAATAAAAAGTAGATTGAATGGTTTTACCCTTTTGAATATACATAGGAATTTGACGCCAAGCACGGGTAAGTTAAATGAAAAATTAACTCAATCCCAACGGTATATTACAAATTTTTAAAATGTTTCTTAATCATATTTTCTATCCATTTTATTTTTAATGCATTATATATTTTTTTTTATCAATTATTAATTTATATTTCCAGCATTTAAAATCTTTAAATATATATCAAAAAATTTTAAATCTCTATTTTGGATCATTTATATTATAGTGATTCATATACTGGTTATTTATTTAATATTTTATAACATTTATTTCGTTTTTCATATGCCGCCAGTTATAACGGTTTGACATTTTATATTCGCATTTATTTATAATTTTTCATGTTTAATTTATATAATTCACATTAGTTTTAAATTGTGTATTAGAAAATTATCATTGGTTCTAATAAATGAAACTTAAATTAGTTTTGAGAAGTAAACTGAAGTGGTTCGGGCATATCAAGCCAAATATGATTGGGTGAAGAGATGTACGTTGATGGATGTATACGGACCAAGGCCTCGAGGAAGACCCAAGACCTGGATAAAAATTATAAGGGATGATATGAAAAAAATGAATTCAACAAATAGTAATAAGTAGTGATCTGCATCTGACCTAATTTTTCAAGCCCAACCCGTCCCTAAAGCCCGACCAGAAATAAAAATAGAAATTTGTCCGCCCGGTCCGAATTTATTTAAAAAAATAATATCACCTTGTTTCTTGCAAGAAGATTAAAATATATCGATTTGTTTTACAAAATTTAATATCTTATTTAAAATTTTAAGTCTAACTAATCCCGATTTTTCTTAAAATATATTAGGCCCGACCCAGCTCGAATCGAAATTATTTTTTAGATAGTGGCCGTGATTTAACATTATCTAATGCTCAGTGTTATATATATCGTTTTTTTATGTAAAGTGTAGTCATTTTTATGATAAATTGCAAAGTCTTTTTTTGTTTGTGAAAAATTTTTTTTTTAAATTTATTTTGCGCAGTCATTCTTTTAATATATTATTAAAAAGGATTTATATAAAAATTGCTATATTTAGATTAATTATATTATTAATCAATTTATATTTATTTTGCAGTAGATATGTATATATAGATAAAAAAAACTAAATAAAAGTCAGTTGACATTTTTTCCATAGTTTCTTTATCATTTGAATATTGTTGTCTTCCATATTTTAGAAATTTATTTTGGTTGCGTTCAGAAGAGGAGAAAAATATATTTTTGTTCTAAAGAAAAGAAGAAGAAAAAAAAATTATTACAAGTAAGAAAAAATTATTATATTTATTTCGTTAAAAAATAAAGTGTCCCAAAAGGGGAGTAACCGATTCCCATTTTCCTCACTACCGATACCTGGTATAAACATTAAAGTGATGGCCAAGACAGTTTGAATAAGCAATTTACCCGTGGGGCAGAAGTTTAATTGGAATAATTAATTACCTGTGGAGCGGACGTTTACGGTGATATATTTGTCAAGTTGAGGCTTTGGCTTACCGGGTGATCGGAAGTTTTAATTAAAGTATCAGTTACATGGAAGTGCCCAAACTTTTCCGAATATAAACCTGATATAAATTCGCTCTTTTTATAAATAAGCCAGTTACGCGGAAGTGCTGCCCAAATTTTTGTAATTATAAACTTGTTACAAAAATCTTTTATACAGATTTTGTATAATTTTAAACTAATAAGTGTGAATGTATATGTGCATCATTGGCTTATTTACGTTACTTATAATATCTTACTTGTTGGCACCTTAAATAACCAAGATTTTTATTTTGAAATTGATCGTAAATTTTTTCTAACGCATGAAAAGTTTAAAATTTGTTTAATACCGGGAGGTTCAGTATAATATTTTTGGAGCGGTGGTTATACTATTTGGACATGAGTTTAGTTTGGGGCAGGAGAATAAAAAGGAGTCGCAGCGTAAGAATTAAAGGACAAACTTTGACCATTGGGGGGCATAATGGAGAGGAGGATATGATGGGTAGAGTTACTTGGTTACCGGTTCAGGAGTTAATTAAAGGGTAGACGGATAGCGATATAAACAGTAATATATATAGCTCTGATAAACAAAATATTGGAAATAATATAGAGAGCCCAGAGAAAACTCTCGGGGAAGGAGAGTAGAAATTAGACAAAATTTTGAATTTCGGGGAAGAGGTATAATGAGTTGTTATAATTGCGGTAAGCCAGGTCATATGCTCAGAGATTGCCGGGATGCGAAGTGTTTCGGTTGTGGAAAACTAGGACATATAGCCCCTTATTGTCCGGGAAAACAAGAGAGGTTAAGATGTGCTGGTTGTGGTAGATTTGGGCATAATAAGGAGGAATGTAATATGAACAATTACAATAACAAAAGTGGTTTTCTACAGATAGGGATGAGTCCTAATGCTTTAAATGTGAGGACTATTGAGCGGGAGAGAATGGAAGAGGGGCGAGCAGTTAATGTCAGAGAGTTAGAGGAGAAAAATATGGAATGTTTTCGATGCCGAAAGAGTGGGCATGTGGCGAGGGATTGTGAGAATTTGTGACTATATGATAGGGACGGAAAAAGGATTTAATCAGCGAAAAACGAATAAAGAGGGATGCGTAAATATGTTACAAGAGGGGATAGTAAATATGCTACAAGAGGGGATAGTCCATGATCCTTGTCCTAGAGTCATGATAAATTTGGGGGGAAGAATGGTTCCTATGGTATTTGATACAGGAGCTGTCATTTCTATAATTGGTAAAATGGATATCAAAGTATTTGGCCTGGGGAAATGATAGAGAATGAAGGGTTAAGAATAAGACAATTCAATGGGACCCTGTTGGCTGCGATGGGTAGGGTGGAGATTGTAGCAACATTGGAGGAAAGAATTGAAATATTAGATTTATGGGTTATCAATCGGAATATATAAGCGGTGTTGGGATGGGATTGGATAACTAGGATTGGTCCATGGTACAGTTTTTGGGGAGTATTTTCCTGGTGGGGTATATTCGCAGCGTCTACATGGCAGAAAATTTGATGGAGGCAACCCCCATCCCAAATCTACCCCTACCCCCCTAAAAAAATTTCGCGGCCTTCGGCCGCGATATTTGCCTTAATCAAGAAAATCTTATATTAAGTCACTATTTATACCCTTACAAACATTCAGACCTGCTTTGGAAAAAAAAATTTACAAACTGATAACTATTGTTACTATCCGTTTTCAATTAACTTATATTTAAGTAGGTAGTGCAATCTTTTCATAATTTGATTGATAATCACAATTTATTTTCATAAAAATTAATATAATAGTATTAAATGAGATAACATATTTACATTACTATAAAAAAATATCAAAAATTTAGTAAAAAAATATAAGATGAGTAATTTTAAAGAGGTATAGCTTGATTCTATAATTACTAATACCTTTATATTAAGTAAAAAAAAACAAAATGAGTAATTTTAAAGAGGTATAGCTTGATTCTATAAATACTAATGCCTTTATATTAATTAAAAACATTCATATAGATATAACTATTATATAAAAAAAATTTTTATGTAAATATAACTTTTATATAAAATATTAGAATAAAGAATATAGTATATTTTGCACAAGAATTATAAAAACATTTATGTAAATATAACTATTATATAAAATATAAAATGAATAGAGTATATTTTGCACTGGAAATATAAATTTTTTTATGTAAATATAACTTTTATATAAAATATGAGAAAAAAATGAATATAGTTGCACTGGAATTATAAAAACATCTATGTAAATATAAGTTTTATATAAAAATATTAAAATAAAATGAATATAATATATTTTGCACTGGAATTATAAAAACATTTATGTAAATATAACTATTATAAAATATTTAAATAAAATGAATATAGTATTATATTATGCACCGGACTAGAATGATATAAAAAACTATTAAATTAAATTTACATTATTAAAAAGGCGTATATAATTAGCTGTGAAAAAGATATAACTTATTTTATTAATAATTTAGTTAATCTTTTAGACGTAGATGCAAATCGCGTTATAATGTCGTCTATTTTAAATCTTTCAAAAACATCAATTTCGCTGGATATTAGAAGTAAATTTTCTAAAAAGGGGTCAGAAATTTTATTCCGCATTCTAGTTTTATTTATTTTGACTTTGCTCATCACTCTTTCGGCTGAACAAGAAGTAGTTGGTAGAGTCAATAAATATTTATATAATAAATATAAATTAGAATAAGAATTTAATTTATTTAAAAGACGATATGGTAGTATAAATGAATATTTTATCCATTTTTTTGTATTAATTATGATGTTATCGTTATTGATATCTTCCTCGGTTTCATCGTTTACAATACCTTTAATTATATATAATTTTAAATAAAATATCAATAAATTACTTTCATCAATATATAACCCATCATTCTTTTTTATTTTCAAAAGATCCTTGCAATAAATGATTGCTTGTGAATCCAAATATAAAGATCGAAAATCATTATATTCACGAGCAATATCTTGAGCATTTAATTGGTAAGTATGACAAATTTGAGATATTTGCCACCCTTCTATTCTATCATTGGCTATAATTCCAGCTGGTGTAAAAAGAGATATTTGAGATAAAAAATTTAAACAATCATAATTAAATCTTTCATTTAAATCATTAATGATTGTATCAAGCACAGGGAAAAATATTTCCCTTTTATATCTATAATGCTAAATAATAATTTTAAATCTTTTTTTATTCAACTTGTTTTTTTTTTGTTTAACATAATTATTGAATGCTGTTTGATCAAATTTGAATATTGATTTTATATTATGCAATTCCGTTGTAAACATTATTCTTTTTCAAATAACTGTTAGATAAGGAATGCAATTTTAAAAAAATATTATCCCCATTAGCTACATTTTAAAATTATTTATAGAAATCGTAACTAATTTTAACCTCTTAGTCTTTGTAATTTATTTTTTGTGTGTTGTATTAATTTAGTTACCATAGCCAAATCATTACCAACTGCCTGCATTTCAATACAAGCCTCATGTGTGCATTTCAATATTTCTTTCAAAATAAATAGACTTAATATGAAATCTTCATCCTTAATTCTTGTTAATAATCCATCGGCAATAGAAGAGGTGCTTGGGTCATTAGAATCTTTTAATTCATTTAATGATGCTATAATATGTTCATAAACATCTAAAAAAATTTCTACAGCTTTATAAGATGATGACCAATTTCTAAAAAAAGATAAGTTACATTAAAAATATTATATTTACCTTGTTGTATTTTTTATTCTTTTAAGAGATTTTTTAGACTTTGTCATTTGATATTTAACAAACACTCCTTGACGTCTTACCCCCCCATTCATGAAATTATATAACTCATCCAATATTCCCATTACCTTTTTCATTTCTATTTTGCATCCACAAACATGAGCAACTACTAAATTGAGCCTATGTGCATGGCACCAAATATATATGGCTTTTGGAGCCTCTTTCAATATTAAAGCCTGCATTCCTTTGTATACTCCTCTCATATTCCCTGCACCATCCATACTTTGCCCAACCATATAATCAAGAGGAAGACCAAGATCTTTGAACTTAGAAAAAACATGTTTCTTTATATTTTCCCCGGTGGTTTCTGATGTTGTAAAAACATGGATGATCCTTTCTACAGGATGTGGATGCGGATCATCTTCTATATATCTTACAAGTAAAGCAATGCATTCTTTTTTAGACACATCATATGTTCCATCTAATATGATGCTATAGGCACAATTCTCTTTAATTTTTTGAATAATACATTTTATTATTTTTATCTTAATGACTTCAATAATTTTTTTCACATGGCCATATGACAATAAATTTATATAAGGTCTTGTGAAATTTTATCTGATTTTTTTCTCCTCAATTTTTCGTTGTTATCAATGTATGCCCGTAAAGTTGGAACCGTTTTTGCCATTAATTTTATGAGGCACATAAAATTACCTTCATTCGAATTAGTGCCCCAAAAGGCTATGTTACATTTTATAAGGTATATAATGGCATCAATAATATTATGAACTATATTACGATTTTCCATTATTATATCAAGCCTATTTGATAGAAAATGATCTTGAATACGCTTATTTGCAAGCCAAGTCATGTTGGTGTATTCACAATCCTTATGAATAGAAGATGACTCATGTCTCTCTAAGTCACGCTTAAAATTTTTCCAATTATTTACTCCAAGTTGAGTCCAAAAAGTATTGGATTTAGGGCCACCAAACATAAGACAATAAAGACAAAAGACTTTGTCTAAAGTGGTGCTATAGGATAACCAATTTCTTGGTTTGAGGGAACCATCAATATTAACCTTTTTATAATAGGATATATTCATGCTCCTATTTAAAAGTAGAAATAATGGATGCGTAAAAATTAATAAAAATTAAATTTTTTAAAAACCTTTTGTGAGTAACAGGATATTGAAATATATTTGAACATGGCTGACATGGGCCTATGGAAATTATGAAATTAATCAAGATATTTGTCATTCTAAAGAATATGAAATGAAAAGGGTCATTAGGCTCCTTTTTTTTATATAATTGAATAATATTTGGGCCTTTAATGTTTGAAATATTTTGGCTTGCATTGGGATTGATAATTGGATGAAAAAAAGATATAATTGGGGAATTTTCAATAACTTTGTGTGTTTGCTAATTATTATTAAAGAGTGTATAGTTTTATTTAAATTAAATACCTCATCATTCAAAATCAGCAGATCACTGGAACTGGGCATTGTATGAGAAGATAATATAATTTGGGAATCTTCAGTAAAAGATTTGTGCTAATTATTAAATAAAGAATAATTAAAATTTGTTTATTCATGAAAATATCTGAATATCCTCATTTATTCCCTTCAAAATTATAAAAGAAATCTTTCTTATTTAAATTAAGTACCTCATTATTCAAAATCAGCAGATCACTGGAACTGGGCATTGTATGAGAAGATAATATAATTTGGGAATCTTCAATAAAAGATTCATGCTAATTATTAAATAAAGAGTGGTTAAAATTTGTTTACTTATGAAAATCTTAATTTTAATAAAAATTTTATTCTTAATTAAGATATAGAAAAGTGGAAAATATTTCATAATTTATTCACTTCAGAATTATCAAACAAATCTTATTTAAATTAAGTACCTCATCATTCAAAATCACCAGATCACTGGAACTGGGCATTGTATGAGATAATATAATTTGGGAATCTTCAGTAAAAGATTTGTGCTACTTATTAAATAAAGAATAATTAAAATTTGTTTATTCATGAAAATATCTGAATATCCTCATTTATTCCCTTCAAAATTATAAAAGAAATCTTATTTAAATTAAGTACCTCATTATTCAAAATCAGCAGATCACTGGAACTGGGCATTGTATGAGAAGATAATATAATTTGGGAAATCTTCAATAAAAGATTCATGCTAATTATTAAATAAAGAGTGGTTAAAATTTGTTTACTTATGAAAATCTTAATTTTAATAAAAATTTTATTCTTAATTAAGATATAGAAAAGTGGAAAATATTTCATAATTTATTCACTTCAGAATTATCAAACAAATCTTATTTAAATTAAGTACCTCATCATTCAAAATCACCAGATCACTGGAACTGGGCATTGTATGAGATAATATAATTTGGGAATCTTCAATAAAAGATTTGTGCTAATTATTAAATAAAGAGTAGTGAAAATTTTAGGCAAATGACTTATTTTATTCTTAATTATAATATATAAATTTTTTTTTAACAAAAGTTGAAATATTTAAATATTCTTATAATTTATTTCCTTCAAAATTGATAAAGGGCATAATAAAAATGTACCTATATATTAAAAATCTTATCTTTAATAAAAATTAAAAGTATTATGCTCAAATTATAGATGAAGAATTGGTTTCTACTAATTCACAAAATTTAAGGTTATTTTTTACTTATATTTATTGTCATGAATTAAAATAATATATATAAAAAATTACTTTTTGGAAGTAAGATGTTATTGATTTTTTTTGTAACTTGGTTTCAACCCCATTTGTGATATTGAATGGAATATCTTTATTTAAGGATACCCAATTATTATCCTTTTTGATAGCTATCTTTGTAAATTTGATATCAGATAACTTGACATGAGGATGTTTATGTTTATAATGGTTATTTATTTTGTCACTTCTTATTTTAGAAGTTTTACAATTAATATAGTCACATTTGACTTTATATATTGTTTTGTTACTTGGCATCTAGAATAAAAATGAAATAAATATTTAGATAATATTTTTTTACTCACTGATGGCCATCAAGAATGATGGAGAATCATAATTTTATCCTTTATTTGACGGTGGATGGCTGAATCTTAAAATTCTCCTATCTTATGAGGTGTGATTCAGAAATTAAATTTATATTTGTTTAAATGAGGGTGTAATTTTAAAATTTTCCAGTGGTTTTACAAAAAATATATTAAAGAAATATATATTTAGATATTTTAATATATGTGCACAATAAATTTTTATTCATTTGTATTATATTTTTAATCTAAAAAATATATTAAAATCTTTTAAAATAAATTCTTATTCATTTGTATTTGTAATTTATAATCAAAAAAATATATTCTAGACCCTTATTGTTTTTAAATTAAAATTCATAAATATACACTCTATTAACATATTTTATAAAAATAATGAAAAATTTACTGATTCAATCATCATCATATAAAGGAAATTTATTATGCACCCATCATTGAATAAAGAAGAAAATTCTGATTACCAGTCATTCATAATGGACTATCAGCTATTAACTTATATTTTTGATAATGTTTTCTTAAAAGATTCCTATTATATTATATGTAAGCTTAATGCATGGTCACAAAAAATATAATATTTTTTGTTATTTATGCCAAAACAATCATGGATCAATATTTCCTCCATTATACACTTCACAATTGATTTCTTTATTTCTTAGTGTCCAACAATTTTTTTAGAAATGTATGATGCTTTGAAATCATAGTTTCTTTAAATTAACAATCCTAATAAATTTTGCAAATAATTGAAAACAGGCATATTTGTGATTTGCCCATTCATTTATCTTCAAATAAAGTCTGAGAAATGATATATTTTAATCATTGAAATTAGAGACCTTCACTGGCATTGATTTCTTCATCCAGCCTAGGTCATAAGTAAAAATAATTTTCAGGCCCAGTTCATGTTTAATGGAAATCCAAACCCAAACCACATCATAGGTTTCAAAGATTATTCCCAAGCCATATCCAAAAATTTAATTTATTGTTAACAAAAATAAACAATATTTCAGTATATGGAATCACTTTGTCAATTCATTTAATTGAAATCTTTTCTTAAATCAATAATCAAATGAGAGGAATAGATTATCTGTTCATTCTCCCAAGATTTCTATAAATATTTAGAAAAAAGGCCAAATATATTATGGAAAATTTGATGTTATATAAAATTTATCTAATAATGAAATAAAAAATTTTATCAATTCTTTTAACAAATTTTTTATCACACAATGGTTTTCACCTCTCACTTATAATTTTGTATATAATTTACACTTACCTCAAAGAATCATTTATCATAAATAGAAATCAATTATGGGTCCAACCTGATTGCCTCACAAAAATGTGGTAATATTTACCCCATTGAAAATGATTATTTAAAAAATTATTAGCAAAAATAATTGCCATGGTTCAAAACCCAGATAACTTATTAAGTATACATATTAAGATTAAATAAAAATAGCTTCATTCTTTATTATATTTATTTATCTATCATCAAATTAAGGAAAATGCAATTATATGCTTAAAAAATTACCTTTTTAAAATCCAAAAATGTTTCTTTATATTGTTAATTGAGTAGGATTATCTTATCATAAAAGGGATTCTTTATTCAAAAGGTCCTTATTATAAAAAAATATATATTGATAATTTAAAATTGATACTGTGAAAATCTAAATCCCATTATGTAAATGAATTTTCTAAAAATTTAAAAAAATAAATATATAGTGTATAATATTTATAAATTGACAGATATCTTTTCTTTAATTGACATTTTTCAGAAAATCAACGATAATCATATCGATTATTGGATTTAAAAATATCATAATACAAGTCAAAAATTACCCTCCAAAAATCAATACCTACCCCCCAAAAACAAATGCCTACCCCCCAAAAATCAATATCTACCCCCCAAAATTAATACCTACCCCCCAAAATGCCAATATTTTTTGGAGGCATTTGTCTCCTACCCCCCCCCGGCCATGTAGACACTGTATATTCGTACCAATAACGAGTGAGGAATATGCTGTTATGACATTGAGAGAGAATGTGTTGCCGGGAATTGAGACCATGTTTAATGAGGGAACCAGAGAAGATAATTCAAGGAGCGAAATAGGGAAAAACAATTATAGGAGCGAAACCAATCAAAATAATGCAAGGAGCGATAATGTAAGTAGCGAAACAAATCAAGATAATTCAAGGAGTGATAATTTAAGGGAGATAATTCGAGAAATCAAACGGAGAGAAGCAATTATAGGAAGGAAGTAGGGGAAAGGAATTCTAGAAGAGAAATAAAGGAGAATAAAGGTAAAGAGAAAATAGACAAAAATTACCCGGGGCACGTTGGATCTGTTAAGGAGGGTTATGATATTAAGAGAAAGGAGGAGGTGAGAGGTGGGAAAAGGGAGGTAAACGGCAACAAGAAAATCAAAAAGTGATGAATGCGAAGACGTCAGAAAATTGGGAAGTAATGAAGGACAGGACACTGCCCAGTGAAGAAGAGTTGATAACTGAGGAGAAAGAGGGAAGAAAATTGGCTATGACTCAAGTGCAAGAAAGAGTTCGGAGATTGGTACAAAGTTATCAGGAAATTTTCAACTAAGACGTAGGATGCCTCAGAGATTATGAAGTAGATATTAAGTTAAAGGATGGTTGTGTTCCAAAATTCTGTGCGTTACGACGGATACCGTTTGAATGGAGGAAGGAAGTGGAACCGGAGTTGGATCAATGGGTACAAAGAAGAATTGTGTGTCCTGTGGAATACAGTGAGTGGGCAACTCCGCTAGTGCCTGTGAAGATAGCCAATGGAAAACTCCGTTTATGTGCCGATTTTCGAGTCACGTTAAATCCATGGGTTGTGGAGGTCAAATATCCGTTGCCAAGGATTGAAGAAATACTGGCTAGTTTAAAAGGAAGCGTTTATTTTTCAAAAGTGGATTTCTCTAATGCATATCTGCAACTACGGGTAAGACCGGAGGTAAAGAAGTTATTAACTATTACTACGCATAAGGGATTGTTCGCGTTTTGTAGATTACAGTTCGGGATTAGGGTATCCGCTCCTATTTTTCAACTTACAATGGCTACTGTTTTCCAGGGGATGGAGGTAGTTTTCTACTATATGAATGATGTGTTGGTGACTGGAAGAACTCCCGAACAACATGAGCGGAGAGGAAGTGTTTCGAAGAATCAAAGAAAAAGGGTTGAGCCAGCGCGGAGAAGAGTGTATTGGAATTATCGGAGGTGGTGTATCTAGATCACAAGATTAATGGGAGAGAGGTGAGACCGCTGGATAAAAATATGGCCGGAATAACTATTATGGTGAGACCGAATAATAAAGTGGAAGTGCAGGCTTTTATAGGGATGATGAATTATTATCATCGGTTTGTGGAAGGTTTTGCTCAGATAGCGGCGCCATTGCATAAATTACTGAAAAAGGGAGAGCGATTTGAATGGGAAAGGGAACAGGAAGTAGCGTTTGAAGAACTAAAATGTCGAATTGGAAAGAACCCATTCTAGTATGCTTTAATAACGATTTGGAGGTAATTTTAGCCGTGGATGCTTCTAATAAAGGTGTGGGAGGAGCATTACATTTTATAGACGGTCTGGAGAGACCTGTTTTGTTTTTCTCAAGAATTTTTAGGACGGCGGAACCTAGATATTCGGTTATCGAGCAAGAAGCTTTGGCCGTTATTTTTAGATTGACAAAATGTCGGGTGTACTTAATAGAGGGTAGATTCATGGTATATACAGACCACAAACCACTGGTGCATCTTTTTAAGAAGGATAATAAAAAGTTAATGTTATCGCCTATACAGAGATGGCTATTACTGGTGGGCAGTTTTGACGTACAATTAAAATATAGGCGGGGGAAGAGAGAATTATTTACCGGATATTCTTTCTAGATGTAGAGCGGGAGAGAATGTTGAAGATAGTGGGTCGAAGGATATGGAGGAGGAGGATGAACATGGATTGATTAGGGCTATGGCAGGAATATCTAAAGGAGGACCGGTAACGTGGGAACAATTCAAAAAGGCCACATTAAAAGATCGCGAATTAACACGTATCAAGACATGCATAAAGGGGCGGAAGACATGGCGAGATGAAGATAAAACTTACAAATATATAGAAAAAGATTTGGCCATAGTAGATGAATGGGTACGAGGGAATAGAGGTGTAGTGCCGCTCAAATTAAGGGATGCTGTGTTGACAATGATCCATGCGGGGCATCAAGGAGTGTATAAGATGAAACAAGGGGGCAGAGAATATGTATGGTGGCCGGGAATGAATGAAGATATAGAAAATATTAGTAGAAGTTGTTTGATGTGTAATACGTGGGCCAAAATGCCCCATAAGAACAGGAAGAGTGTTTGGCCAAAAGTGACTCAGCCGTGGGAGAGTATACAAGTTGACTTCTTTGACTTTGAAAATAAGATTTATATACTCGTGGTAGATGCTTACTCAAAGTGGGTGGAGTACGAGGAAGTAATGGGGCTAACGACGCAAGTGGTAGTGAAAACGTTGAAAAATCTATGGGCTAGGTTTCGAATGATAGTAGTATCTGACGGAGGTCCAGCTTTCATCAGTGAACTGTTTAAGATGTGTTGCCTAGAAACCGGGGTATTTTAGCGTCGCCATATCATCCCAGTTCAAATAATCAGGCGGAGAGGATGGTGTCGATTGTCAAGAACTGGTTAAGAAAATCAAAGTATGGAGGTGGGGAAATTTGGATAGCGGTGGCATATTACAACAATAGTCGAAAGGGAGAAGAACAGTCTTTAGCGGAGAAGTTTTTAGGGCGGCGAACCAGGATATTATTGGATTTATTAAAGCCGAAACCACATCAAGAGGTGGAGAGGGAGATAGCGGAGAAACCTGAGTTTGTAGTAGGACAAACCGTGTGGGCAAGAATATATGGAGGTACAAGAAGGTGGGAATCTGGGGTGATGATGGAAAACATGGGCAAATTAAATCGAGTGATATTCATCGACGAAAAAGAGGGAGTACGGCATCGAGATCAATTGAAAAGGGGCGTGGAACCTGGGAGGTTACGATCGGGAACGTATGAATGGTAAGATATACTTGATCGAAAATTCATGGTTGATAAATATTCATATTAGTACGGTGCGCAAAATATCCGAGGAAATTTAAAGGGGGTAGTTAAACCATAGGTATGCTAACTCATTACCGGGGTGATTGATAATAATAATAAAAAGAGAGTTAGACATATAGTGGTTAAGGGGACAAAATAGTTAATGGAAGGTGCAAATGATTAAGACGTGATTTCTACAAGGAATCGACAATAACGGCACACAAAGGGAGGAGACTCGATGAGCTAACCACCGTTTAAATTCGTCAAAATACCATAAAGGGACGATACATTTGATTATTATTGTTATCTTCCATATTTTCGAAATTTATTTTGGTTGCGTTCAGAAGAGGAGAAAAATATATTTTTGTTCAAAAGAAAAGAAGAAAAAAAAATTATTACAAGAAAAAATTATTATATTTATTTCGTTAAAAAATATAGTGTCACAAAAGGGGAGTAACCGATTCCCATTTTCCTCACTACCGATACCTGGTATTAACATTAAACTCAGGACAGCAAAAATGGAGAGGAAAAATTAGAGGGAAACTGGCTTACCCGTCTAAACGTAGAGCCAACTGGAAAAGGAAAAATATATGGAAACAATTTATTATATATAAATAAATAAAGTTAATTTAAATATAAATAATATTTACTGGATAATCTCTTAAAATTGCCTTTAGTCATGTCTAATCATTAAACAAATAAAATAAGTTTGAATTCCCATACTAATTTATGAATAAGGTTGAGAAGATATTCTATAATTTAATTTTGAGCACACATTTTGATTAAAAACTGTTAAATTTTAATTAAAAACGAATGCTTTAATCTTTTTATTAAAAAAACAGTGTAATATTAAATAAAAATGATAGCAAATTTTATTTCAAAAAATTAACTTGCTACTCGTTACGTTTGCAAAAAAAGGAACTCATTGCCCGCTATTTAAAAAAGTAACGCGTTACTAAAAAGTACTAAGCTTTCTATAGAAGTTTTCTTTTTTTATTCCCCATAGATAATAAAAAGAAAATTACACAAAATTTTTATTTTATTTATTCTTAACAATTGATTTTCAAAATTTTGATCATAAACAAGATCGTTTAATGCTCAACACAGCTTTCAGCTAAACACAAGTTCAAATAGCTCAGAAGATAGGAGGGTTGTATTATAAATGAATAAATCATTAATTTTATTTAATGGAATTTATTAAAAATATTTAAAGAATGATCTTTATTTTTAAAAATCTTATTAAACCTTCTTCACAAGAATCTTCATTCATTAATATTATTTTATAATTCATATTTTTATTTACATGAGGTCGAAATATTTAAACTAGGGCCCAATCTTACAAAGTGTGGACTAAATGCCCTTAATTTTCTTTAATGTGTAATGTTTCATGGGACCAGGGGAGAGTAATTTGCCTACAACATTGGAAGATGGTAAAATTTTAGGAAGCTGGTAATATATTTTTATGAAAGTGAAAGAATTTTATTGATTTGGGGTCATTGTGAAACTCAAATCTTTGTGTATCTTTTCATGCAACTCTTTTTGATTTTTTTACCATCTAAAAAAGTGGGTGCCTACATCTCTTACTCGGTGGTCACCAAAAGAAACAATTATTATATTTTACTACGCAACTTTATTCTTTAAAAAAAAATTAATAAATTAAAAATGATATAATTTAATTTATTGTCATGTAATATATTATGTGTGAATAAATAATTTAAAAATTAATTAGATTTCTCAGGGTATATATCCCGAAATATTATAATAAAGTTATTGGCAGTTTATGTGTATAAAAAAAGTACTAATAATCTAAATTATAATAATTTAATAAATTGATATAAAATTTTAAGGGGCAGAAAAAAACATAGTTTGGATTATAATTTTGTACTTATTGATTTGCTAAAATAAAATATATTATTTCACAATAACTTAGGCATCTTTTTGATCCTATCCACATCCAAAATATAACTTCCGTCATTAAAATGATCATTATATTTTCCTTTGTAACGATCCTTGTCATTGTAGTTCAAATCGCATTTATTAGACTTAATAGCGGCGCCTTTTGATTCAAATCCCAACACCAAACCATGTTTATCGAGGTATGCCTTGGTATGAATAGTTAAATCAGTGGAGCATCCCATTCCATATAAGGTGAAATCAGTGTGAGTTTTGGTGTTATGATTGTGATGATTTCCTTGTGGAGGAATATTTAAACCTATAAAGGAGTTATTATGAATGGTTTAATAAAAAGTGATTGTTATTTTTTAGTACAATTATTGGGATTAAAATCAAGGATGGGGCCACGAAACTCACGGTGGTATTTCTAAATCTATAAAAAAAAGGATAATTTTTATCCTATCCTATCCTATCATAACTAAATTATTAATTTATAAATTGATTTTTAAACAAATTTTTTTTGTCCTTATATATGAAATGAACTATTAGTTTATTAAATGAAATCTGGTTATAAGTAATAATAAACAAGTTATAAAGGATTCTTAATTTTTTTTTAAAAAAATTTTAAATAATAAAAACAAGCGAGTTTGACCAACTATGTATTAAAGATATAAGTTTGAATAACGAGACACACTTTTCCTAGCCCTACGGTTATCCAGGTTACAGCAGCAATCCACTTTAGTGTTAGTTTGCAAGCTTTGACTTTCCTCAATATTTTGATCGCCGTAATTATCTTTCAAATATTTACTGGTTATCGAATCAATTTTATCTTTAATCAATTTTGAACTTTCATTGACGGCATGTTGGTGACAGTTTCTTGAACATTTGCTGATTAACAATTACATTTATTTTAAAATTCAAAATAATGATATCATATAAGATTTAAAAATTAAAATCGATAGCTGTTAACATTTAAGTGTGAAAAAAAATCATATGCCCGCAATGCCCAAATTAAAAAAAATGGGTTGCCAAGCACATTTAGGTCCCACATTGCATTCGTGTCACAAAAAATTTATGTTTTATTTATTTATAAGGCCAGGATAGCAGAAAAGGGACTATAATATAAGCTCAAAAGGATTGTTAACTTCCAATTTTTTGTGGAGAGATGGTCAATAGATAAAGAGGCTTTTCCAAAAATATTTTTTAAGAAGTTTATCAAGATTTCTTTTAAAATATATTTGGTTTATTTAAAAAATTAATCAAAGGCTCAATAAAAACAATTTATTTAAATTAAAAGGTTAATTTTTTAAAAAATGAATAATAATATATAAGTTAGCGGCAATGTGTTTCTTCTGCAATTTGTTATTTTTTCAACTTTAAATTAATTTTTGAGCGCGTTTTTTAATTTTTAAAAATCTGACTTTTCTGGAAATATATTCCAGCAAGTTTAGAATACCTATCTTATGAATTGTAGACAATTTTGCTGTTAATCTTCGAGTCAATTAAAATTTATAGAAAAAAATCTATAAAAAAATAATATAAATTAATTTGAAAAGTTTATGACATTGTCTGAAATTCATAAGGTAGGTATTCCAAACATGATGGAATGCATTTCTGGTCAAATCAAATTCTTGGATTTTAAAAAACGGGCTCAAAAATGATTCAAAGTTAAAAAAAATAAAACATTGCCGCTAACATATAACATGTATGAAAATGGCAAACTTTTGTGGGGATGATGATGTAATAGTATATTCTACATAATTTTCGCGTGATCTTAATATGGATCTTTTGGGTGTTATATCTTGACTGTTTGATGTAAAGTAATTTTCTTGCTCCTTCTTGTAAACTCTTATACATTCCTCTCATTTCATATATATATATATAAATATATAAATAATAGCGTGAAAAAAAATAATTGGATATTCATTTATAAATATTTTTCAAAAAAAAAATAAACTATCTACATTTTCTAGTTTCGATTGACTTATTAGCTCTAATAACATTTTCAGCCTAAAATAATTTGAAAAATATTGGCTATTTTGTAAATGGAATGAAATTGTTAATAGGAGAAGAGAATAAAATTTTAATTTTTCAAATGAGCAATAAATATTAAAAAATTTTTTTAATCTTCCTAAGTCCGAGGTTTGTAAATTAGGTCGAGCTTACGGTCCCTATCTAAGCCAGGGCGGCAGATCTCTATTTTTTAGCATCTAGCAAAATAGATCCAAAAATAAACAATATATGGAAGTTAACTGATAGATATCTTAAAATACATGAAACAATTAGATCCATATAATTTTCTAGAATTGGGACTGGCCGGTATTCTGGAGAAAACAGAGGAGGGAAGCTTAGAAAGTTTAAAAAAATTAATATGATAAATAATTATAATAAAAATATTGACTCCCAATATCATATGATATTATTTGGTTTTATATATAATTTTTATTGGCAGTTATTACTATATTTATAATGAAATATAAAATATAATCAAGATATTTTTAATGATTTAAATCATATCTTATAATAAAATAAAAATCATTTTAAAAAATATATCTTGGAGGAAAATAACACGTGAAGTAAGGTTATTAGTGGAACGTTTACTCATTTTATTACATTAAATCTGTTTTGACTGTAAAAATTATGATTAAATAATAAAATATTTGTCAGCATATTATTAAACATTTATTTTGTGGGTTATTTTTTCCTTGGTGTTATCACGTTTATCTCCTGCAATAATGATGCTCACTAAAATTCAATAGAATTTTTAAAGGATTCTCTAAAGGAAGAAGGCAAGAAAATTTTATGACTATTTATTTTTTTTATATTTAATTAAACCTAACCATATTCAACTTTATAGTTGATTTGAACATAATTTACACACCCGATAAAAGATTGAAATTTTTTTAAATATGAGAAGGATGAGTTATAATTATTTAGATTCTTTCTTTTTTTTCTTAAAAATAAAAGCCATCTCTAGCTAAGTTACATGCTTATTAATGATATTTTAAAATCATTATGATTGTTTTCTAATTTACTTCCTGATTTTCTAGGGCATCTTTGAATTTGACCCTCCTGCTGCACGAGCAAAGAGTTCGAGTCTTGCTTATCAAGGGCGATTGAAAAAATGAGTCATTTTCATTTGCATAGTCAGATTTTTCTTGTTTCCGTGCGTTGTTTAAAACCATTGAATCATCAATTGTTTCTATCCCAGTGTCGCATTTTTTTGACGTTTGAACATTTATTTGGCACGGATCTTTACTATTAAACTCAACTATCTTTTGATTATTTAAGGCATCACTGTTTTTTCTGCTTCCAACATCATTGACATCTTCATTGACGTGTTTCGTAATTTTCACGGAAGGATTTAAATTAAATTTACAACTAGGCCCGTTTGATGAATATAAAGATGCCCCAGTATTGACACCTTTTTCATCTGTTTTGGTAATTGCATCACATTTAGAATTAGTATCCTTGTCTTCGACATTATCAACATTACAATTCTTATCTGTTTTACCCGTTTTATCTATTTTAGACTGTTGAACGTCGATTTCTTTAGTTTTATAAACAGGCACAGGGATGTTTAACGATTTAAATTCTTCTTGGATCAACCCCATGCTCTCAAGTTTGTGTCTAAGGCTCTCTATTTCTCGCTGCTGATATTTTATGGTGGTGAATATGAGTGATTGGATATCGTTGACAGGAAAAATGTCATCTGAAATTTGTGGCATCGTAATTGGAGTTTCTGTTGAGATCTTCTTATTGAATTCATTTAATATAATATTATTTGAGTTATTATTATTACTTGGGATTTTATAAAAATTGCTAGGGGATTTATCCGTTTTATTTATATCCTTTTCATCCAATTTCGCATTCAACTCGTTAGAGAAGGTCAATGGAATTTGTGAAGTGTTCATTGATGGTTGTTGTTTAACGATAAATGACTTTGCCTGTCTTATAACGGCGTTTATATTTTCCTCGTTTAAGGACATATCGATCTCGTTCAAATTTATCAATTTCTTCTCCGGATTATTTGATGACATTTTATCAATGTTTTTATTTGCTTCAACTTTACATTTTCCATTTTCGAGATCATTTCTCATAATGGTATCATTCCCCGTTTTATGAACAGATAATTTTTCGGGAAAAATAGTAGAGTTTATATTATTACGATTGTAATGTAAGTTAATAAGTTCCTCTTTTATCTCATTTGGTATTACGTGTTTATTTGTCTGCCATTTTGAACCATCTGTTTTAGAGTATTTTATTCCCATATCCTGACATTTATTAGTTGTATTCTTATTCTGAGAGTCATCGCTATTAGAGCAATATTTATATTCGGATATATCTGACACGAAGGACTGAAGCAAGGATATTTTTTTTTAAAAAAAAGATATATTTAATTTATAACTTTTATAACCTTATTATATAAATCTTTTCTCGCATTCCTTCTCCCCACTATTTAAAATTTTTTTACTTATGGAATTCATTATCACTCGCAGAACTTAGAAGTAATCACGAATTCCCGTCTTTATAATAATATTATATTATTTCATAGTCTATGTTTTAATCGGAAAACCTGGACAAAAGGTTAAAGTTGAAAATATTTATTAAAAAAATTGATCCTGATTCCGCTTCCTAAAAATTTGGATGAGGAGAGTTCCGGTTCTACGTTATTCCCTATGAGCAGTTCTATTAATTTTTCGTCCAGGTTCTAAAAATGTGATAGATATAACCGATTTTCCAAAAATTGTATATGATTTTATGTATGATGTATTTTAATTTTTTGTTTAGAAATATTAAAGTATATTTTACAGTAATATGATTAATGATATTACAATGTAATTCATATAATTTACGGAATTCATTGTATAAAATTAAGTTAGTTAAATCTTAATCAATAAAATTTATAAATTTTGGATAATCAATAAGAATTCAAAAAAATTATAATAAATTTTAAATTTTTATAGAATAAACAAATTAAAAATTAAAATAATTAATTATAGCGTTCCATGTAGTTGGTAAATGATAACCATCATCTTTGTTATAAGGCCATAATTAAGTAAATTGTTAAACAATCAAATTTTTTTATTTAATCGAATTTAACAATATATTATTTAAAGTTTGTTCAGATAGTTTATTTCTCAGTAGGGATAAATCTAAGATTATCGAAGGGAATGAACTTTCAATGCTGACTTTAAGTAGTAGGAGGGAATGACCAAAGTTATTTGGCCAATACAAATAATTCTAGGTGAATATGTTTTTGGTAATCCGAATATTTAAGGCGTTGGTAATTTAATTTTCAAATTTATGGCCGTGATCGCTAATATGATCACAATTATCATTATTATTTTTTTTATTACGTATGGAGGGTTAATAATTGTAAGATCATCTTCTGAAGACGAATTTATATTTAGGTTACAATTTTCTGGTTGCTTAATCTCCATAATTTCGTCGGAATTTTGATTCTGTTAAAAAGTTTGTGGCAAAGTTACCTCAAATTTACAGTGTAGGGTAGTCTAATGCTGAAATACTTTTCCAGACAAACCAGAATTCTGAAATTTAAAAATCTCTTTTAAAGTTGTGAAATTACAAATGGCCATAGAATTCATATTACAATATGAAATATATAGTACAATATAACCCGTGTATAAATTAACTTCTAGGAACCCATACATTTATGTCTTAATATTTAAATTATTTATACTTTTACCTAAAAAAAATCGTATTCCATCCCATTAATTATAAATTTACCGAAAAATTAGAATTCAAAGGTATTTTAACAGAATCGTCTATGGTTACGCGACTCGTAGCCTTCTCAGGGTTGCATACACTAAGATTTAATCTCTCCAAGGCTTCTTCAAACTTACCGACACGAAAATACGATTCTGGCTCTATGTGTTTTAGCTTCTCCATTTCATTGCGATCGTCAGAATCGATTACCTTGATTTAAAGGTTATCATATTATAAAGTCGAGACTATTACATAATAGGAATAGTGGTAAATAACTGAAAAAGGTTACTTTTAAAATGTTATTTCTTTCTTATTTTTATAATAAGACTTAGATTCGTAAAATTAAGGGGTCTAATTTTTTTCAAGGTAGGAGAAAAAGATAATGGCGAGTCCCGGATTAATCCTATACCTCAAGCCTTTCCTATTTGGTGGGAATAACGAGCCGATGCCATTTATAAGGCTTTTAATAACATTTATTTACTATTACATATATACAACAAACCTGTAAAGCACAATTAACGATTTGAGGTCTTATTTTACTGGCAATCTTTGAATATTCGTGTGCATTTACACTGATCATGATCTTGTAGGTACTCATAGCTCCTATATCCCTGATGTTGCATATGTAAAATTGTGGGTTCATACTCTTGTAAGGCAGTAGTAAAACCATGAAAGCTACATTTTTCCTGGTGGTGATAAAGGTTCAAAATATATAAAATATGGCTATATTTGCAAATTATGAATTTAAATCAAAACATTTGATAATAAATTATAAATAGTGTTGTCATTACTTTTAGGAAATAATTTTATTCCTTAATAAAAAAAATTAACATTTATATGTAAAAAAATATTACTAAATGGTTTTAAAATATTGATCAATTACCCATTGTTAAGGTGTTTGTTGGCCACAAAAAAATTGGAAAGAGACCAAACGTAAGGATGTTTCATGTCTTCCACATTGTAGACCCATAAACCGAGTATTTTATGCTTGTTTTTATCGTAGGTGTCGGGCAGAAAAGCTATTTTTGAGTAGTTATTCAGATACAAGAACCCGAATTTGATGTCCCCTTTATCTAGATTGAATTCTTTTGAGTTATTATTGCCATGATTGTTATTAGAACCTGTCTCGTAGACTTGATATCTTAGAGAAGAAGTGCAGCATGGAATGGGTTGAAAATTATTTATGGTGTAACTAGTATTGCGAAATACAGCCTCGGCCCTAATCTAATAACGAGAAAATAAAAAATAATATTTTTAAAAGAGCGTAAAATATATCTTTTTTTAAAGATGATTTGATTTCATTGTCTTTGAACTAGGAGATATTAATAAAATCTGAAGTCCAACTGACACAAAAAGTCCAAAATAGTTCTTAGAGAAATTAGGCAATTTTGACAAATAAAATAAATTTGATAATATAATAATAAAGATGTTAGAAATAAGATAGCGTAAGTAATGAGTAGACGGTACCTTTGAAGCCATCTAACAGGCCACAATTTAATTTTATTTATTACTAGGGGTGTACCGATACTACTTTTTGGAGGCAGATCCGATATTCCCGATATAAATTGATATCGGCCGATTATCAATCCGATATCATATCTAATTTTGTATTCTGTAAAGATACCAATGGTTTTAATTTTTAATATACTTTTTATTAGTATAACATTTATAATCTAACTATACCATAACTTATATCATTTAAATATATTATATAATCAGTTATAGTTTATATTCAATTCAATTGCAATTCTAAAAGTTTATAATTCATTATTATTATTAAAAAAATAAACATAAAAATTGATTTCGATTTTATTTATAAAAATAAATGATTTTAGATATAACTTTTTTTTAAAAATTTATAACATTTTATTTTTGTTAAAAATGCCATTTTTTTATGGGATCGGATCAAAAAATTTTATAATATTGGCCGATAACCGATATTTTAAAATGGATGAAATATCGGTCCGATCCGATCTGATAAAAAATATTGGTACATCCCTATTTATTACATTGTTGATTTTTTTACACAAGGCGAAAGCTGTGTTGATCAATAAGCGCTCTTGTTTATCTTCAAAATTTTGAGAATTATTATATATTATTTTTGTCTAATTTTATACATATTATATGGGGAAAAAAATAAAGAGAAAATTTATATAAAATGTTTAGCATTTTTCAAGTAATGAGTAATGCGTTCCTTTTTTGAATAAAGAGTAACGCTTTTATTTACAAGATAAGGAATGATGGGAAAGCGTTACATTTATTCAAAGTAAAAGAAAATAGTAACAAGTTTATTTTTAAAATAACTTTAACAGCAGTATATTATTGTCATTTTATTTCTCAATTTTCTTAATATTTTTTCTCTTTTTTTTATTATTCATTTTTCCTGTCATTTCTCTATTTATTCATTTTTAACAGATTCATTTTCCCTTTTTTAAATTTTTTGACACTGGCAAAATCTGATTCCAATAAAAAATGTGTTTTTAGAATGGAAAAGTTTTGTCAGAATTCCAAATCCAAGTAATGAGAAAGAATTTATTATACTTTTATAGAGCTTGAAGAGAGAACATTAACACAAGAAAATTCCAGTCCTCCTATGCAGCTGGAATGATCTTCCTTCTGGAGCTGATGTATAGTTAGTGAAGAGCCTTATGCCCTAAACCCCCATAAGCAAAACGGGCCATAGACATAAATACACTACTGTTTGCTGCAATTCTGGTCTATGTTGATGCCGGACGCGGGGTACATTATAATTTAAACCTATTTGTGCAGCTGGCAGGCATCGTTGGTTCCGCTAGCGATCTAGTAGGAATCCACTAATGGATCAATCGCTACTGTATTCACCTGAATAAGTGAGGTACTTATCTTGATATAATAAGTATCCATTAATTTTAATTCGAAGTTAATGCTTTTTTCATATAGGGGCATTTTTTCAATAGCATTAGCAACAACTATTTTTTTAATTTAATATATTTTCAATACCAATAATTATTTATTCTAAATATTACAATTTTAAAAACGATGTATTATATAACTCGCAAATAATTTTAAACGTTAAAAAAATGTCTTATTAAATTCAATTGTTCATATATAGTGGCCATCTACACGTTTTTCATATTATTCAATATTTATTTAAATAATTACCCAGCCATGCTAATTTTTGACGAAATTGTTTAAAAAAAATAGCAAATGAATAAAAAAAAAATTGAAAAAATGAAGAATTATTTTCAAATATTAATTTAATTTTCTACTGGACATAAGATGACTATTTTTTTAAAAAAATTAACTCGATATTTCCTCCTTAATAATCAATTATTGACTTAGTTTTTATTAATATTGGATTAAATATTCGTAATTTAGTTTTTAATTTAAAACTAATTATTTCAGTAAGTGGTTAAAAAAGCCCAAATTTTTGTACCTTAGATTCCCGTTATCTTAGGCAAAATATTGCCTACAATTTTTTATCGAAACTAAAAGGGGTGGGCCAAGAGGTGTTTGATTTGAGATGGATATTATCTATTATTTAAATATTTTATAGAATAAAGTACACATGATTAAAGCAGTGTTAAAATTTCAGTATCATAGCTAAAGGATCAAAGTATGAAAATTGACCTATATCCTAATCGATTATCATTCAATTAAAGCTTCACTAAAAACTATAAAATTCTAAGTAATGATTAATCCCAAAATAAAGTTTTTATAGTCTATATTTTTAAATATTTTTTTGTAATTGTGGCTGTCCATATAACCACATTGTAAGGTTTAAAATCCTTGTAGAAAATAGATTCCCTAGATATTTAAAATTTTAGCCAAGTTTCGTCTATATCTGTACATAATAATTGGATATGGTGAAATGGACAAAAAAACTTAACAAATAATTTTTTTATTCTTTCTCATAACATGTAATTAATTGTATATATTTAAAATCTTTTTATATATTTTTAAAATAATTTATAACAAATATCAATGCAATATTTTAATTTTTATTGGTAGGAAAATATTTGAAAATAATAAATAAAATGCTTATACCATATTGGATAAAGAATATTTTTCAACCATCCAGTCAGAATAATTTAAGTTTTTGTAAAATTTTGCATAAATATGTTGTATTTTGTTTACTATTAAAAAAAATGATAATTTTAAATAATATTAAAACAAAGAGATTAAGCTATCTATTAAACAAAAAAATACTTAGCTTTTGATGTTTTTATTGATTTTCCCAGGAAAGCAAAAATTTGGCATTCCAGTTTTTTAATATAGATTTGTCTTAGTGATATTTGCTCCAAATTTTTAAAAATCAGAGAAACTCATTAATTTTTTACAAGGATATTAAATGCTAGAGAGTTTAAATGGACTGCTAAATTCAAAAAAATGAAAATATTTTAAAATGTATAAACTTATTTTATAGAATAAAGTACACATGATTAAAGCAGTGTTCAAATTTCAGTATCATAGCTAAAGGATCAAAGTATGAAAATTGACCTATATCCTAATCGATTATCATTCAATTAAGGCTTCACTAAAAACTATAAAATTCTAAGTAATGATTAATCCCAAAATAAAGTTTTTATAGTCTATATTTTTAAATATTTTTTTGTAATTGTGGCTGTCCATATAACCACATTGTAAGGTTTAAAATCCTTGTAGAAAATAGATTCCCTAGATATTTAAAATTTTAGCCAAGTTTTGTCCATATCTGTACATAAATAATTGACATGGTGAAATGGACAAAAAAACTTAACAAATAATTTTTTTTTCTTTCTCATAACATGTAATTAATTGTATATATTTAAAATCTTTTTATATATTTTTAAAATAATTTATAACAAATATCAATGCAATATTTTAATTTTTATTGGTAGGAAAATATTTAAAAATAATAAATAAAATGCTTATACCATATTGGATAAAGATAATTTTTCAACCATCCAGTCTCAGAATAATTTAAGTTTTTGTAAAATTTTGCATAAATATGTTGTATTTTGTTTACTATTAAAAAATATGATAATTTTAAATAATATTAAAACAAAGAGATAAGCTATCCATTAAAAAAAAATACCTAGCTTTTGATGTTTTTATTGATTTTCCCAGGAAAGCAAAAATTTGGCATTCCAATTTTTTAATATAGATTTGTCTTAGTGATATTTGCTCCAAATTTTTAAAAATCAGAGAAATTCATTAATTTTTTACAAGGATATTAAATGCTAGAGTTTAAATGGACTGCTAAATTCAAAAAAATGAAAATATTTTAAAATGTATAACTTTATTTTGGTACATTATATAAAATTCTTTAGTTTATAGTAAACTTAATTGAATGACAATCAATAAGTGTAAAAGTTGACCATTTTTCATGATTTTTATTGATATATCCAAAATATAAAAATAAAATAGGATGAAAAAATTTGAAGGACCAAAAAAAATTGATTTTCAGGTTTCCAATTAAGACTAACAAAATTTTTTAATTTCTATTTAATAATTGCTACATGAACTTTTATATAATAACTGGTTTAACAATATCTTTCATTCTCATTATGTCAACTATTGCTTACAAACTTGACTTTTTTGGTTAGCTAGCTTTTCAAATGCTATCAATCTTAAATTATTAATTCATATAAAAAATGAATATTTAATATGGAATGGATTATTGATTATAAAAAGTGGATATAATAACTAGTTTTATTAATAAGTGATTATATTATTGGTATTTTTCATTTATTTAATCTTATAGTATGCACAAATTGAACATTTCAACACAGCATTTCAAAATGCCAATAATGCTTAAATGCATTTGTTTAAATTGGACAGTATTTTTTTTAAATAAAAATTAACAATTTAATTTAAGTTTTTTATTTGTGTTTTAAAACACTGCATTGAAATGTTCAATTTGTGTGCAATATTATGTTTATTTCCAGATTCTCACATTTCTAAATAAGAGTAAAATTAACATAGCCAACATAACTCTTCTATATAAAAACTTTTATTTAATTTGGCATGTACATTTTTTTTATCTCTTTTCCATTTCCCATGGGAGTGGTGTTCTTGCATGCACAGATAACTGAGGCCTGACCTAAAAAGGTGAGTGGTCCTTCCCTTAATTATTTCCTTTTATCATAGTTTGATGGGGTTCTTCTGAGAGAACCAAGTGTTGCTCTGCTATATATATAACTGTTATGAATATAACACAGGACTAAGAACTTAAATAACACATATCATGCAAGTGCTATTTAATGTTAATCATAATCAGGATTTCCTCTACAGCTTAATTTAGTTAGGAATTGCCTAAGGGTGCATAAAAAGTGCAATAAATCAATAATTATCATTTAAAAAATTGATCAATGTATAAAATTGGATTGAGATGATAGAAATATGCTTTTAATTTAAAACAGTCTCATTTCCTCCCTAAAAGTGGCAAACAGTGGTATATTCAAGATTTGATTTTGAAACACATTCAAAAAAAATTAGCAAATAAGAGAAATCTGATTTAAAATTAACAAAAAAAAAGAAATACAAATCTAAATTATAATACACTTCAGGTGGCAAATATTGTAATTGATAATAGTATATAGTACTTTGTCTGATTTTTTTTTAATATTAAGCTAAGTTAATTATATTTTAATGGAAACATAATATAATATAAAATTTCAATTAAAATTTTAACAAAATATATTAACAAAGTAAACAAACTATCACTTTTATATAAATTAATTACTAAATATGCTTTTAATAACTCATTACTATAAATTCCTTAATTTTGGCTTAATATGATTAAAATTAAATATAAATTTTTAAAACCTTTATTCTAATCTTTTTCCCAAGTATGTATCCTACTGATAAATGAAACACTATATCATTTTGAAGAAATTGTGGGTTTTTTTTGTTTTCAAGAGTTTTAATTTGATTTATATAGAAGTTAAGGTTATCAAATGAATCTTTATTTTGAATAGCATAAAATATGGCAGACACAGGTAAATTGTATACGGAATTATTTGTTTTACATAATTTGAGATGTATGGTGTTGTCTATATTTTGTTAAAGTAGATGTATTTAATAAAGAAAATAACCTTTATTGTAAAAAACGTTTGAATTCAGTGTTGTGTGGTAACGAAATGAATTATTTTTGTTAGTAAAAGTTATATTATCTCTTAATAAATTTTCATCGACTATAAGTGATATAGATACGGAATTTATGTCAATAACAGAAGGCTTTCCATTTATGGTTAAATTTATCATGTAGTTTAAATGTAGCGGGTAATTATAAAAATCGTTCAAAATCGATGCTCATAAAAAAAAATTGTGGATTAAAAACACATTGATTGACGTTAATATTTTCATTATTTCATTTTTAGTTTGCTTTGATGTTATTTTTAAATAAATGAAGGCTTAATACATAAGAAGTATCATGTGTATAAGAAAGAGTTAATTTATATTTTTATATATCATATTTTTTTATATTAGCATTTTTATGGTGTTACGTTATTATATTCTAATTTTTAATCTTATTATTACTTTTTATAATCTAATTTTATAACTTTACTTTTTATATTTCGTACTTACTTTTTATATTTTATAATATTTTACTTTTTGTTTTTCGTTTTTTTAATATTGTATTCTAATTTTTGATTTGTAAAAAATGTATATATACCTTAAGAAAAGAAAAAGAAAGATATATAATAAAGTTAATAAAAAATAAAATATATTTTTATATACTGGCACGTTTATCATGATTCTTTTCATTGTGCTCCATAATAGCTATAAGAAACTCACCTTATGGAAATTAAATTTTTTTTTAAAAAATAAATTTTTTTTTGGTATAAATGATTAATAAAAAAAATTATTATTAGTTCTATATAAAGGGAGAATTTATAAGATAAAATCATTGTGATATTTTTTTTATATCATGTTCGCTTTCAAATTAATTAATATTCCCCATGATATTTCAATTTATGACATTTTGTTTGACTTAACCTACAACTGTGATGTAAATTATTCTAGAATAAGTGGAACGGAAGATGTTCTGTTTGAATTCATTAACTTAAGAGATATGATTGGTAGCTTTGAATTGTTAAATGGGAAGCATTATATATATAATGATAATGAATTTATCGAATTAATTTGCATATTCATCAAAATATAAATTGCTAAAATATTAAATGTTATAATTTCTTACATATATGTCTTACCAATAAAAAATGAAAAAAAACAAGAGTTTATACATAAGATTCCTAAGTTTACTGAAATTTATTTAGATAGAATATTAAATTATTTTTCGACCAGTACATTATCGGACTCTATTAATATAAATACTTTGCTTAATAATTTATCAGACGAAGTTTTTGACAATATTAAATCAATTTGTTCTGATACCGACATTTTAGATCTTAAAATTGTGATTAAAAAGTTAACTTACCTTTTACCTGTGCAAGATAAAAACATTTTAATTAATAAGTTTAATCTGCTTCAACAAAACTCATCAGAGAGTTTTATGCTGTGGTACATAAGAGTATCGAAACTTCATAAAAAATGTAATTTTTTGGACGACAGTAGATTAAAAGAAAAATTACGTACTTCTACTTCAAATGATAAGATAAAATATAAATTCTCTAAAAACATTAACTTGACACTTAACGGGATGATCGAATTAGGGGTGAAACTGGACTGTATTAGCATTAAGTCAGATGATAATAATATAAGTTATATAAATAATGATAAAAAGTCCGATAAAGATAAAAATTTTTACAATAAAAATAGAAACGACAACAATAATTATTTTAGACCTGATAATAATTTTAGAAATAATTTTAGAAATAATTATGATAATAGAAATAGAAATGGGAATTACAATAATAATTTTAGATACAATTACGGTAATAATAATTCGAGATACCACGATAATTATAACAACTATAACTACAACAACTATCGCTATAACAATAATAATCAATCTAATTATGGTAGAAATAAAACATGGTACGATAACAATCAAAGAAAACAAATCCAATACAGGGACGGAAATCGTAACAATTACCGATCCTATTACAACAATTCAAATAATTATAGAGGTAATGACAATAATCAGAGAAAACAAATACAATATAACAATAACTCAAATAACTCAAATAATTATAGTGGTAGCGACAACAATTATAGAAAGCAAATACAATACAACAATGATTATAATATGAATATTGAAGAAATTATTGAAGAGAAAGTTGACTCTACAAAGAACAAAGATGATAATAATTTTAATGTTAACAACTTATCTGGTGACATGCTTAATGATAAAGATAACGCATTTATGACAACCTTAAAAGTGAACGATATTGTTACATGTATGCAAGTGGATACGGGCTCTAAACACACTATTATACCTCATGGTCTGGCTAAAAAACTTGGTATTAGAGATCTTAAGAAATCCTAGCTAAAACTCACCGCATATGACGGAAATTTAATCAAGATCATCGGCACTACTCAAGTCAAAGTGACTTATGAAGGTATCTCAAAATGTTTACAAGCGGTAGTCGTCGGATCAAGTAAAAATGCCATGTTGGGACGGACATGGATCAATGCTTTCAAAAATATTTTAAATAAATTTATAGCAAATGTTGACACTAATTACGAAGATGAAATAAAAAAATTGATTAAAGAATGTGAATCTAAATTGACTAATGGGCCAATCAACAAAGCAAGTGTAAGTTACATTTAAGAAGAGATGCCCAACCTAAAATTTTACCGCCTAGACGTATTCCTTATTCAAAGATTGATTGTTAGCAATGAACTTAAAAAATGGATACAAGATAAAATAATTGAGCCGGTGAATGATGTCCGTTGGGCAAGTCCTGTTACCGCTGTCTACAAAGATGATGGGAGCATTAGGCTTTGTGCTGATTTTAAGGACACTGTGAACCCAGCTCTAGATCAGATACCCTCTACCACGAATCAATGATCTAATAGCTAAACTTTCAGAAGGAAAGAAATTTACGAAGATTGACTTTAAAAATGCTTTCTTACAGATACCAATTGATAAAAGTTGCAAAAATATTTTAACCATATCTACGCACAAGGGATATTACCAATTTACTAGACTTCCTTTTGGGCTTAAGACCTCATCTGCAATTTTTAAACAGATTATGGATCAAATCTTTGGTGACATGGATGATGTCATATTTTACATTGATGATTTACTTATAACTGGAAAAAACGATGAAGCCCACCTTAACAACATAAAAAAAGTGTTTGATAGAATATCATCGTTTGGGCTAATACCTAACTTTAATAAAAGTGTGTTCTTTAAAAACGTAGTGAGGTTCCTGGGTCATGATATTGACGCTAAGGGGATTCATGCTAATCACGACAAAATTGAAGCAATAATTAATATCCCAGAACCAAAATCAGCTGCTGAATTATCAACATTTCTGGGAATGGCTGGCTACTATAGAAAATTTTTGAACAATTTTGCAGAAATTGCCGATCCTCTATATAAGATTGTCAACAAAGAAAAATGGGCTTGGAACCTTGAACACTCTAAAAGTTTTAATGATCTTAAGAAGTTGATTAGTCTTCCACCTGCTTTGACATATTTTAACCCTGAATTACCTATAGGGATAGCCACTGACGCATCAAAATGTGGTTTAGGAGCTGTACTATTTCATATTGAAAAAGACGATAAAGAAAAACCTATAGATTTCGCGTCGAGAACTTTATTGAAATCCGAAATGAACTATACCAATATTGAGCGTGAGGCTCTCGCCATTATGTTCGCTATAAAAAGGTTCCAGGAATATTTAATCGGCACAAAATTTACAATTATTACTGACCATAAGCCTCTAGTTCACATCTTTACCAAGGGTCTTAAGGATAATAGCACCATGTCCTAAAGACTCCAGAAGTGAAATATTACATTAGGAGGATATGATTTTAATATAAAGTATAAAGCCGGTAAATATAACGTTGTTCCTGATTGTCTTTCGAGATTCCACAAGAATATCATGATGAAACTATTGAAAATATCACTATAATAAATGAATATGGGGATTTACCTATTAATTTTAATCAAATTCGAGATGAAACTTTGAAAGATGTTAAATTAAAACAAGTTATAAATGAAACAACAGGCCTATAATGAATAATATTTATAAAAACATTGAATTGGAATTAAGTATAATTAAGGATTGTCTTTACAAAAGCAACAGAATCATTTCCGTCTTCTATGAGAAAAAATATACTACAGACATTACATGAAGGTCACTTGGGAGCAGGAAAAATTAAATCCTTAGCCAAAGATTACATGTGGTGGCCTGGTATAAATAATGACATAGTGATGGAAGTGAAAAGTTGTAATGATTGTAATATATATCATGATAATCCTATAAAGATACAAAAACCATGGATTTCGGCAACCAAACCGTTTGAAAGGATACACATAGATTATGCGGGTCCGTTTTTTATAAAAAATTGGTTGATAATAGTCGATGCCTACAGCAAATTTCCAATTATTAATCCTGTTAAAAATATTACGACTGATGTTACTTTAATAGAAATCTTTAAAACTATTTCGCTATATGAAATACCTGAAACTATAGTTACTGATAACGGCACTAACTTTACGAGTAACGATTTTGAAAAATTTTGCAACAATTTTGGTATTAAACATGTGCTCACGTCTGCGTATCACCAGCAATTCAATGGCCAGGTAGAACGCATGGTGAGAACGTTCAAAACACATATGAAAAGGAATATTAAAATTGACCTAGATATCGCACTTGGCAAATTTTTATTTAATTACAGAAATACGCGTAATGATACTACAGGTGTTACACCTTCTCAGAGAATGTTTAATCGAGATATTAGAATTAAATGGGACTTATTAAAACCGTTGGAGGAGAAGGAGAATAAGATTTTACCACGTAATAGAACTTTTAATGTAGGAGATTTTGTTTGGTATAAAGTACAAGGTGATGATAAATGGTGCAAAGGTATGATCACACATAAAGAAAGTGATATGATGTTCCAAATTAAGACAGAGAAAGGTATTTTGAGGAGACATTTAGATCAAATAAGAGTTAGAAACTGTTTTAACACAATTATTAACTATGACTCTAAGGATTCTTTTAAGGAGGGAAGTGTAAACAAAAATATAAAAATTACTGAGAATAACGATATAACACCTATTTCTAGACCTGTGCGAATTAAACAAAAACCTGTTTATTTAAAAGACTACATAACTTAAAATA